CTTCGCATAATATCGCGGCACTTTTGCTGGCGTCGACGACGCGATGTCCGGCGTAAACCTTGAACGGCAAACTGGTTAGCAGCGTTGTAGACGATGGTGCGCGGGTGCGGTTCAGTTGGTCGGCGTTGTCGCTTTCACAACAGGAGGAAGACTCTCGCACCATTTGCGGCGGGTCGTCGTCGGCCGTGCGGCATTTGCTGGACTTTGCACCGTAGCGTATAACACGCGGTGTTGGTCAGTCAAATATTCATAGTATTTTACATAAATTATCACTCATTTTTTTTTTCATTTTGGAATTACTCCATAATATGGATGATATAAATGGATATGAAATCATTAATTACAAAACTTTATGAGTTCTTTTATGTTACTGAAGTTAAAACTAAACTAAATAATAATTTAAAACTTATAATCTATTTATATTTTCTAAAGAGTGTAAAAAATACAAATCCCTCCAATCCTCTATAATAACAAAATATAATAAAATTTATCATGTATCTTACCAAAAATAGACTCCCCTGTATTAAATTATTAAAATTGAACTTATTTGTTACAACCAGTACTTCAATTATTTTTTACTATTATTTTGTAAAACCCTTTTTTTCGTGTGCTCAACTTAAAACACCAGTATGAGAATTATACTTTATACTTTATTTCATGACAGAATATGCGTAATGCCATAGAAATTCAAGTATATAAGATAATTCTCCTACAGACATTTCATCAATCTCCAATGAAAAAAAATCATGCGGAGCAAAAAATATTACTTATTTTCTCATAAAATAAAATACATTACAATCAATGCCGCACCGACACAAGGGTGGGTCAAGTAGGATACATGCTCCTAGCCTTGCAAATAACAGTGTTTGTTTAGAAAAACTTTTATAATACCCCCCAATAAAAAATAAAAAATTGTANAATACCCCCCAATAAAAAAATAAAAATTGTATCTTAATAATGTAATATATATATATATATATACATACATATTAACATTATCACAATAGGTCTAGTGGTAAAATTAGTCTCTATGACCCTATGAGCCTAATTGAGGTTGACGGAAACAAAATAGATTCCATTTCTAACAAAAATAATGATATGTCTCTATAAAATTGACTATGTATTCTATTATAGAAAAATATATGAAGAAATTTAATGAAATTGAAGTTAATACAAACGAGATAGAATTTGTATTGACTATTCTTGAAAGTTTATAGCATCTTGCCTATCTCACAATCATTTTTTTTTTAAATTTTATGAAATTACATAATATAAAACAATTTGTTTATTGATAGTTTATAACTATAATAATAGTTTATTATAAAACTTCAAATAATTTCTTTTTATTATCTATACTTTTTTTTTTTTTTTTTAGAGTAAATAAGATTCGAGGGAACAGAAAGTATTATGCCTCATTAAGGTTCTACTGTAGTAATAAATAAACAATTCTCAGTTGTAAGCAAAAAATATTGAAAATATTTGTTGACAAATAGCTCAAATCTTTAAACATGCCATTGATGTAACTGTGTAGAAATAATATGTATAAATATAATAATTTTACTATAGTTGTTTTAAGTACTTGCACATTGTTTTTAAAACAACAATTACTCCTACCTAAAAATTTTAAGCAAATTTTTTTCTTACTACTCCTTCTAATTGAATTTAATCGGATAATTAATTTAATAACTACATGTATTACTCTAATACATTACCTTACTTTAAGTTCAAAATTTAACAATTATCAATAGATTTAATTTTTTAAAGTAAAAGTATTACTATATGAATAATTAACATACAAGAGATTTAACTACAATACTGTCCTTTCAATATAACAATTCATTCTGATATTGATCTCACAATATTCTTATACTTGATAGAAGAAATTAAAGCTTACTAATATTATATGCTTAGAATCATGTATACAAATCAATAGACATAATATTTGTAACTAAAATTAAATTTAAAACAAATTAAATTTACTTACATGGGATAAAAATGGTAATGCTAAAAAGCAAAATTTATTTTATTAAACTTACTCAAGTTTTTTTGAGAACTGTGCATTTATTTGATATGTGACTATTTTTCATGATATAGTCATGGCAATAGCAAAATCATGATTAAATCATTTTTGTTTCTTAATATAATTAAGATATTAATTTTATGAAATTAATTGTAGAAGATATTAATTAATTATTAATGAAGATATTAATTGTAACGATATGAAAATAAAATAATTAATAATTAATATGTTACATTAAATCACTATATTTATAACATTATTAAACATTTAATATACAAAAACGTTAAACAACGCAAGTTTGTATACAAATGTCGAGTTAATTTAATACTCAATTCAGTTTTCTAAGGATATGTTAAATCTTATTGAATAATGAACAAGAATTTTTAATCACGCGAGATTGTAATACAGCGGCGAATTAGTATTTAATTCAATATAGTTTATGAGGTTATGCTACAACTTTTAATTCGTATCTATCAACAAAAAGATTACTTTGTGTAAGCAATGATTATGATAACATTATCGTAGTACTCGATTATTTTAAGAGTCACAATACTAGGCGAAGGGTTGGGTTTTTTAAAGAAATTCGTTCTTCAGTATTACAGTTAGTCTTACAAACTGATAGACTGTGCTATTAATAATATAGTAAAGCCCGTTTTGAATCTATTATTATTATAATAATAATAGATAATTATGATTAAATTAGTGTGTCGTAAATTATTATTGCTATCTTACTTGTCATATCTTGGTCGATAACAATTAGTGTATATTACACTATAGAAAAATAGTGACTTCTGTATTGAAAACATTAAAACAACAATAGAAATTTAGTCCAAAATTATTTAACTTTAACAAGCTGTAACAGACGAACGGTTGATCGGAAAAAAAAATTGTAAGTGCAAAGTTGTTTGTATTTTAATGTTCAATCATAATAACAAATTCAAAATAGGGGTTCCCATTTAAGAAAATGCAAATTTATGTTTTTTAACCTTGAAGGGATCAAAAAAATGATGTTTTTACTACATATTATTATAGAGTTTTTTGAATCAAAAAATATTTTCCTTACCAAAAATTAAAAATGTTCAATAGTTACCGAGAAAATGAGTGTCTTATCCTTAATGAATCACCCTGTATATCTTAAATTATAGGTAATGTAATATACTTTATTATGAAAAAAAAATTTTCGGACTTTATTTTGTCTTCACAGAGAAAATAGAAATCAAAGTTAATAAAAAAATACGATTTTAGTAAAATAATTCTTTTTTATATTTTTAACTTAATAATGTTATAAATTTTTAGAAAATATATGGATCAATAAATTTTTTTTTTTATAGATGCTTGATGTCTGTTGGATACGCATCACGAGAGGGCATTTTCTTAATTTTTTTATTATGACTGATAACGCCACTCGCACTACCACCACCGGTTGTGTGAGAAATTCATTATGTCAGATGATTACGTACGCGATCGATATATGATATCGATGTGAAAATCTTTTGAGTCGTAGTGTATATGATGCTGTTACTATTTTGGCCCTTGTCAAAGTGTTCCATGAGGCCTTTTTCGTACATAATAGTTTTATTATAATATTATTATAATATTTTTAACTTAACTTTTGAAAGTGTTCCGGAAAGTCTGACACTTTTATGTATATATCTTATATTAAAAAAAATGTAAAATACTTTTTTATATAAAAAAAAAAATTTGGTCTTCATTTTGTCTTCAAGGTGAAAATAATTACCGAATGCTATTCTGTGCAAATTCTCGATTTTATATTTAACATTTTTAACTTTAAATGTTATAAATTAATGAAAAGTGTATGGTACAATACAATATTTTTATGAGAAACTATATTTATACCCCTTTTTCATTCAACATACTTTTTTTTATAATAACATCATTTCCCTTTATATATTTATTCATATATTACACTTATAAATCATAAAACTTGTAATTAAAATATAAATAAGGAAATAGGAGATCATGTAGCTTTTGGAATAATCCACCAATTTTTTAAAATTAAACACTATCTAAAGATTTGCTTCGAAGCGTTTTTTTTTTTATAGTCATTTTAATCACTGTCAGATATCATAATACTTGATCTAACTATGCCACCTCACCACTGTGTCACGCCCCCATGTGCTGGTTTTTTTTTTTAAATGAAACCATTATCTGGTATATATTTATATATTATAAATAATATATTCTAATACAAAATATTACTTTATCATTTTTTATTATTTCCACGTAAAATAACAATATTAAATTATTAAATATAATTTTTATACTATATTTAATTTCTACAAAAAATATTATTCATGAATTGTACTTTTAAATCTAAAAACTACTAATGAGCATATAGTTAAGGAAATTTCTTAGAATTAAACACTATCTACAGATTTACATCGAAGTGTTTCTTATGATATTTATTTTAATCAATGTCAGATATTATTTATAATTATTTCAACTATCCCACGTTCATTCTGTGCTGTGACACCACTGTGCTATCGTTTCTTTATTTATTTTTTTTTTTTTTAACACTTTTAGTTACATATTATTCTTAAATTATTAGCTATGTAATACTTTTTAAGTTCATCCTTTAGGCCTTGAAAAGCGTCAACCTTAATTTTTTAATAAGATTACATATATTGAATATAATAAAATGTTTTAGATTTTATTTTAAGATATCTGACAGTTATTAAATTCACTATCATAAGAAACGCTTCAGTTCAAATATTTCGATTGTTTAATTTTAAGAAATTTATAGATAATTCCAAAAGCATTCTGTTTCATTATTTATATCCTGATTACTGATAGATATAAATATCTTTTATAGCAATTAAATATAGTATGAAATTGATTTTTAATAATTTAGTATTGTAATTTTTACGGAGAAATTATAAAGTAGTTATTATTTTTATATACAATACGTATAAAAATTGAAGGCTATTTTTTCAAAACAAATATTTTATTATTATTACTTATAAATAAAATTATTGGTTAACAAAGATTCTCATATGAGGCTAAAATATACTTTTCTAAACCCATTTTATACCAATATCAAGTCTGCAATTAGAGTTTTGCATATGGACTAAATAATTTATATAACAAATATTTATGATTGATTATTAGGTTACGTATGAATAAACAATAAATATATTTTAATTAAAAAATATATATATAACAATCACAATGTATTATGTGCAGTGTATCAATATAAATAATTATTAAATATTTAAAAAATCATTAACTTTTGAATATTTTAATTGTGGAATATATTTAAAATTATGATTAAAAAAATGTTTCATTATAGTAATATGATATTACTATGTAATCCAATATAAAAACGATATTTATAATTCTATTATTTATGGAGATATTTAAAAGTTATTTTGAAGTTGCCAATTTTTACAGTAGTGTAATTTTGAGTTATTTGTCTAAATTTGTAAATTCAGGAGATTTTGCCAATTTTTGGTGACTATAAGTTTATTTATATTAAAATCTTGCTCTTTTGAATTATAATTGGTCTTTTGAAAACTGAGAAAATTAATAACAAACACAAAAAAAAAACCAGTATTAAAATAATTTTAATATAAATATCAAATTTCTTCTCACAAGGAGAGATTATAGTGATGTGGTCATTGAAATTCATTGATGTTATTTAATCTAAATGAGATAAAAATCAAAAAAAATTTAATTTTTTTAGAAAAGAATTAAGAAATAATTGCGACAAAGGTTAATTTGATTTGCGGGGTTAGAACATTGTACCTCAAGTATGCACGAGTATACTCGACGCATCAAACCCTTGTGTATATATTTTAAAAATTGAACATGTTTTAGCATGTTTTTTAACTATGACATTCATTTGCATATCGAAGACAAATCGTCAGAATAATTTTTTTTTTATTTATAGTACATAATATAAGCTTTTATTTGACATAGTTTAAACAACGCAATATTTCCGGAAAATGTTCAAATTTTGAAAAAGTTAAATTATTGTGCAAAAATTTCTATTTTCAATCCCCTCCAATGGGCATGTAAAAAGTCACATTAAATATATATTTATATAAAATAAAATGGAAATATTTAAGATTTTAATGTAAAAAGAAATTATTTTTTTTCGTTAATTTTGATAATGTTATGGCAGTTTTCAGAAAAAAATCTCAAAATTTACATTTTTTTCGATATTTCTCCCATTTACAGGGAATGAGTGAAATTTTTTCCATTTTAATTCTTTATTTGACGTATCATTGAAAGAAATCGGTCCGGTGAAAGCTGAGAAAAGTGGCAACAGACACAAAATAACAAAAAACCTAGTAAAATTAATACCTTCTCAGCTTTGCATAGAATCTAAAAAATTATAGTTAAGATATTACAAAGAATCTATCGTAGTTCCGAGCTTTTATCACTATTTTCAGAAGAATAATTATACTTTAATGCATTTTAATAATATTTTATAATAGGTAAAACAACACGCGTGAAATTAATTATTTTTGTAAAAAAATATTTTTGATATTGTATTAATTAAAAGCATGTTCATCGTAATCAAAATCCATTACTGCAGCACCACATTCAGGACAAACGGAAATGTTTTTTCTGATTAGGTCTGCACATAATTCACAATACTTGTGTTTGCAGTTTAGTGATATCCTACAAGTTGCTAGATTACCACCACAATCGCTAGGACAAACTTCATAACTTGAATTATTGCGGATGTTGTCTGATATACAGTTGTCTGCTACATTAAAACATAGAAAGTTTATTAAAATAAAAAAAAATTATTTAATAATAATTAAGATATAACCAATAAACAATTATGTTTTTAAGTTATCATAAATATTAAATGCTTACTATCAGCTACTATCATATCTATAAAAAAAAAACAAATGTTTCAGTTATCAACAAATTGTTAAGGGTAAAAATTAGCATTATGGGAAATATTTAAAGGACATATTTCTCCTAGAAAATAAAGTATTATTCTTGAGCTATTAACTGTGTAATACTTTTTAAGTTCATCCCTTATACCTTGTAAGGGTGTCAACATTGTTTTTTTAAATGGGAACACATATTTTAAATTTAATAAAATTTTTGAATTTTTAATTTAATAGTAAATGGCATTTGAATTTTTAATATAACTTTATTCGTTTATTAGATATAAACATAAAAAGTTTTAATTTTTTTAGTTAATGTCACGTATAATACACAAGGGCTTACAAATATAGATAGCTAATTGGTTTTTTATGACATTTCTGTCACAATCACGGATTGTTTATTATCAATTATTACTATCAATAGATATACTTATTATATTTTAAGTTAGTGTATTTATGATCTCTCAACAATGCACCTTACTACCATTGATAACAATGCTGTGTACCTGCGAATATTGATGTAATAAATAACCATTTAGCTACCTGTATTTGTAATCCCTTGTGTATTATATATGTATATTTACTCAAAAATTTGAAACGTTTTATGTTTATATCTAGTAAAGTTATATTAAAAATTCAAATGCCATTTACTATTAAATTAAAAATTCAAAAATTTTATTAAGTCTAAAATATGTGTTCCCATTAAAAAAAGACAATTTTGATACCCTTACAAGGCATAGAAGATGAACTTAAAAAGTATTACACAGTTAATAGCTCAAAAATAATGTGTAACTAAAGATAATTTTAAAAAAATGTTTTAATTATATTTATTCTGTAAATAATTCAGTAGTTTATGATAAAATAATCACTCTGTATATAATATATAATATATCATTATTATTTAAAATAAAACTAATATTACTATCCGTTGTGTTTTAATTTTAAAGTATATGTTAATGATTATATTACATTAGCTTTGTATCTCAAAAAATTTTTTTTCTACAGTGTATTTTTAAAAAAATGTTTAATAACTAAAAAAAAAAGGGTTTGTCCTCCCTGGTAGTTACAAATGACAAATAATTAACATAGTCGTAATTTGTAAAAGTTTTCTGTCTTGATCACCCTAAATATAAAATTATAATAATTTGTCATATAAAATATTTTTACGAAAAAAATAATTCAAATTATATCTCTTAACTTTTTTTGATTTTTGACGACATAATAAAGATCGTTTAATTACACTGTGTTGCTAGCCTTTTAATCAAAATAATTTTTTCAGATTTTTATTTTTATTTGACTTATAATTATTTAACTTATCATATATATATAGATATATAATATTATGATTCTGATATTGTTAAAAAAAAAATTGTTTTGATTTCTATATCGATATATTATGTAAATATAATATTTTTATGTTTTCGATTTAGATAATTTATATTGATTTATATCTATTATTGTTTTTACTAATAAATTTATTTAGTTTCAATTGTGCCAAATTAAAAGTACCCTTATTTTGTAAAGTTATTTATTATAGCCACTCTTATAAAGAATTTATAGTTTTAGTATTGCAAATTGTTATCATAACTAATTAATTTCTCGATAAGTGACTGTAGTATTTATTATTTCAGAGAATTTTAGAACCACTTGTAAACCCGCTTTATTTCTAATGTCATTAAATTGTTAAAAGATAAAACATATATATAGATTTCTAGAGAGGAATATACACCATTTAATACAAACCCATATTATTACTATAATTATGTTCTATGCTATTGCTAATAAAACACGTTTTATTAACAATTTAAAAAATAGTTATTGAAAAAACAATATCTTCTCAGAAACGGATATTGAACTCGTAAAAAAAAGTGATATCACAATAAAACACTTTGCCTGCAGTTACATTTAAAAAACGGCTAAATAAAAATAAAAAAATAGTCATCAGATATAACGTATGTAGTTAGTGTTCAGCATCATAAGTTGTGATATCTTTTGTTTTGCTAGATAAAATTTTTGATTTACTTGGCTAGAGCAAAGAATATTTTATAAACGGTTGTTATAGTATTAATACTTTTTAAAATAGCGAATAGAGTGCAAAATTACACAGTTTACTAAATTAGTATATAATACAAAAAATATTGTATTATTATAATGATGCATAATTATGTATCAATAAATTTGTAAATACTGAAAATACCTCACATTTTTTTTAGATACGGTTATAGCAATTGTTAGAAAATTGTATTTGCTCTTACCAAGTAAATTGAACATTTTACTTAGCGTCACAAATTATATCATAACTTTATGATCCTGATCGCTTTAAGATGCCTAATCATTGGTGATGGTTTTTTTTACTATGCCGTTTTTTTACTCGTAACTACAAAAAGTTTTTGTTTGATATTACTATAACGCTGATTTAGAGAAGATCATCTTTTAACTACAAATTAATACTTACTTATTTCATCTTGACTCAAGCCCATTCCTAATATGAAAATAGTAATAAATATAATAATTTTAGAATGTATAATGTATTTTTGCTGATATAATTTAATAAATTCATAATAATTTAATTATTATTCAGTGCCTAAATATTTTTTAATAATATAAAACAAATAATTAAAAAAGTTAAATATTATTTTTAAAATAATAAAAAAAGTTTAGTAATATATAAGTAATCCTAGCAAAGATGGAGATTTTTACTCATTTAAAATAATTAATATAAGAACTAAAGACGAATTAATTTTTTTTTTGTCAGCACTTTAAAAATTATATTTGATTAAAAAAAAGTATAAAAAATATTATTTTTTTGAAAAAATATTAAAGCATCATTAAGATATAATTTTTAAATTAAAAAAAAAAACATAATGATTTGAGGTAGCAAACGTGCATTTAATTTGAATTCAAAACTGATAAGTTTTATTTTAAAGCAAAACTTACTAATATATTAACGAGCTTATTGAACTTTACAAAAAAAATCTTAATCATTTTAAATAATTGGGTTAATAATCAATGATTCAATTAATGTAGAGTTTTATTTGTAATATTGTGATTGGTAATTTATATGAATGCTCACCCGTTAGATCACTTATTAATTTTTCCTCTAGTCATAAAAAAACATTCAATATAATATAATGTACGCATTATAATACATTCCATAAAATATTTTTGTATACTTAATATTATTTTATAAAACCAGTGACATTTTCAATTCATAATTGTTTTATTGTTAAAAAACGAATTTCAATGATGTGACTTCGATATCAATTTTGTTGACATCAAAGTTTATTTATTTTTCAACACTGGCTAACATTCAATTAAATTTTATAAAAAAAAATAGTGGATCGGTAACAAGCTAAAAACGATTATTCTTTGATCCAAGATATTTGTTATGTTTTTTCATTACTATCTAATAAAAGTATACATTTCATGTATAAGGTTTCTTTAAAGATTTTAACTTGACTTTTAAATTCAAATTTATGTGTTCATTATACATGTATAATTTTTACATTGCTTTTTAAATACTCACTTCTCTCTTCTGAAGTAGTATTGTGGAAATCTACATAAAAATATAATTATTAATAAACAATTATACTAAAAGTTATAAAACAGTTGTTTCATATTATTTAAAGGGTATATTTTATTAGCAAAATAAACATTTGTATTTTTTAATTATTAAAACTATGACTAAATAATAATACACTTTAAACATGTTAAAAATTTGTCATGTTTTCCACTTCTTAGTTGAAAAATGGATATTTTTAAGGTATCCCACATGAATTTTCAAAATATTATAATATAACAGTTATTTTTCTTTATTGTAGACTAAACAACCTATAATATATATATATATATATATATATTAATTAATATTTATTAGCATGAAAAATTATCAATAGTTTTATTAATTTTATAATACATGATAATGGGATTTTAAGGATTATACAGCAGTTTTGTTAATTGATATATATTGAATGATTCACAATTTATTTCAAATAGTTATGATATCTAATATGTTGAAATTTAAAATCATATTTTATTAATATATAGTTTTTAATATTGTTAGAGAAATATTGTGGTGCGGGTACAAATGAAATGTTAAATACATTTTAGGCGTAAGTTATGCTTTAGATGTATTCAGGAAAAATATAGAATATGATTTTTCTGAATTTGCATTGTTGATTTATAAATATTTCCAAAATATTAAATTTTTAATTGAATATTTGGTAATGATATTAATATAACATATTAAATAAATTATATATAATAGAATATAACAACGAAAAAAATGAATGTCGGAGAGGGATCAGCAATGTAAGGTTGAAGAATGTCTACAAATGTCAAGTAAAACTTTTCATGAAATTTAATAGTTAATAAAATAAAAGTTTTTATTTTATTTATTTAGTAACAAGTTATGATACTTTTCCAAAAAAAATTTTAGTAACTAGTTTTTGTAAATTTATCATTATTATGATAGTATCATAGAGATCCATGCTATTATACCCACAGATATTAGAAAAATAGCTGAATGATTTATAAAGTGCAATATTAAATATANTAAATATCTACTTAAATGCTTCATTTAATATAATTTTAAATATATTAAATAATTACTGTTCTATTTTATTATTTATTTTTGATAAATTTAAATGGATAAATTTTCTAGGATTATTTAACCATATTATATCTTATACTGAAAATGTATAGGAAACATTTTGATAAGGCATAGATTCTGTTAGTTAGGTGAATTTGATTACTTTGTATTTTCTGGTATAAATCAATTAACAACTAGAACTGAACACATTTTTTCCAATCTGTAATCCTAATTAAATTTATTCAATTCACATGAATTAAATAAAAAATATGTATTGAATCCATCAATCTGAACAATGGATTGAATCGGGTTATGGATTTGTGATTAAATTTGTCAAAACTATTGACATTATATAAAATATGCAATATGACATAAATTTAGTATTAATAAATTAACTAAAGATATTAGGTAGTTGATGTTCATGTTGTATTACAAAATTTTACGAACTAACAAATTCAATAAATGATCTTAATTAACATAATCCGTATTAAATTAGTGATCTAGATTTATTCCATAATCTGTATTAAATTCATGATCCGAGTTCAATTTGTAAACCATATTATTTCGATTGACGGCATTTATTCAATTTATATCAACATGGATACAAATCGATTGGAATTTCTTGCACAGCCCTAGTTACAACCTTTTAGTAAAACAAGGAATTCTCCCCTAATTTGAACCTGGGCAGCCCATTTTAAGCCAAAAACGTTTAGAAGTGTTTTTATAAAAAAACATTTAGAGCTCTATCAATTTTAGTCAAAAAACTATTAAATTGAGAATACGACAGTATTACAACCCAAACTAAAATTCTGAGCACGCCTATGTTGATCGTAATATTCACTCATATTACTTTTAAATAATTCTTAAAATGTTAAAATATAAATTATAAGAAATGTACAGTGTCACAAAATTGTATTATGTACCAAAAATCATAAAAATGCTTTGTAATTTAAATATATAAATTTTAATGTAATAGTTATCTAAGTCATGATTACCGTGTAATAAAATAATAGTAATAAAACAATCTAAAGAGGCAGTACGACATTCGAGATTACCAAAAAAATAAGAGATGGGGACTATCAACTATATAAAGTAAAAAGGCTAAGGTAGCACACGATCACCCTTTCTCTTCTATTCTCGCCTTTTAATTATTGAGTAAAGCAGAATAACGTAGCACAGTATGGAACATAGCAGTGTAGTTAGCTAGTCACTTAGCTATTTAATCAACACAGTGAAAAATGAGTAAGGAACAATCTCGACTGCTGTACGCTTCCTGACACTTACAAATCTCATTTCGACGTTCAAATTATTTCTACCCGACTAAAAATTATTTTATGAGTCTAAATAAGGACAACGAAAAGTAAGTCGATTTTATTAACCCTTATTAACACATTTTAGTGGCTAGAAGAATACTGATCCTTTTTTAAATAATAAGGTTTTATGAGTATTCAAAAATCATTAATATAACAGTGATTAACCCAACAATATTGTAAGAATATGCGGTATACACACATTTTAAAAGTCTTGGGAGCGAGGCGTTCGTACTGCTACAGGCGCCACTATAAGCAAAAGAAATTCTTGGAGCGAGATGACCGTGCTGACTCCATTAGAGGAACAAGCCCCTGAAACTGGGACTTGTGTAAACGCACATGCCACTCGGGGTTTTTTAACATACATAAAACCGTATACTTATAATAACGTATACTAACACATCAATAGAATAATTTTATACATTATTTATATTAATAACCTTATTATTTTTGAACCCCCGATGAAATATTATAATTAATTATATGTAGTAATTCACTCGTGCTCTACCGCATCTAACCCTTTTACATAAGAACATTATTTTTACATCCTTAATCCTTTTTTTCTTATTGTAATATTTTGAATTACTAAATAATTTGATATTTATTATGAAAAATACCAAACAATATTGTAATTTGTAAAATTCCTTAAGTAAAATAACTCATTTTTAGTTCAATATTTAAATTCTTGCTTACTTAACATTTCTTCAGTCGGGTTAAAGTCTGAAACATAAAATATTTTCCTATATTATTTAAATAACAATAGAAATCATATGTATTCATTTTGTTCATTAATCATTTTTTACAAAATTATATCTTTAAATATAATATTAATAAGTGTTATCAATATTATTATATACATAAATACTTACTATTTATATAATAACTATTTACTTTTTAAATAATTATTTAAGTTTCAACATATTTGAAGCTCTACGTTGTTAATTTATACGTATAAATATAGTATTTAGCTTCGACGCGAAGCTGAGAAGATAATGGTTTTACTATGATGTGTTTTTAGTTTTTTTTGTCTGAGAAAATGGCTACCGAATGATATTTTTGTGTGAATATTCTTGATTTATTTATATTTTACATTTTTAACTTTATAATGCTATAGCTTATTGAAAATTGTATGGGTCAATACAATTTTTTTATGAGAAATAATATTTATATCCCTCTAAATCTCCCTATGTCACCAATGTACCGCGACCCGCTGTGCTGGATTTTTTCAATTATTACTATTACACAAGTGTCGATATTTGGTAAAGCAAACCATATACTATCCTTCTTAAATTAACCCAACCACAAGTAAGACAGACCAAGTTTTTGTATCCCTAAGGAATCGCTGAGGGATAAACAAAGCATTATAACTATAAAGTCAATAATATTTATTGAAAAATATATTTAACATTTTCAATTTAAAATTTGTACATAGAAGAAATATTGCCCTTTTTAATATTGTTCAAATGTATTTTATAAATAAAATCTATTGTAACATTTTGATAATTTATAAATAAAGTTCCTATGTATCTTACTTACATGAGCCAATGTAATTTAGTACATCGTTTCCCATATTAGCTAAATTATTTAAAATTGGATTTTGTGGCCGTCGATTATCTAAATATATTATACGATAATCTTGTGGAGATCCGTTTAGATCATCAGCTTAAAAAAAGAAATATATATAACAATAATTTTTTTTTTTAAGTTACTAAAAAATAGATAACTTACGATGTAAACCATTTGGATGGAAGGGAAAGACTGGACCAATCATAGGATATTGACCGTTAGGACCTATAATTATAAAAAAAATAATAATTGATTCTTATATTTATATGCGTATACAACATATCTTAAAACCATGGACCAACTTGAAAATGTAATCTTTTCACTCGTCTTAATTATAGAATTTTTATTTACCACAAAACCAAGACAGTTTTGTCTCAAATTTAGTTTTGTGTACAATATTATAACAACTAAATTATAATTTGTATATTTAAAAATAAGATTAACCAAATTTAAATGAACTTGTATAAACGTAACTCCTGAATTAAGAGTTTTTGGAATCAACATTTTTCTTTAAAACTTATCTATAAAATGGTTTTGCTCAAATCTTAAAAAAAATTTTAGTAAAAAAATTAATTTAAAAAATATTTTCTGTAATTGTGAATAATAACATAAAACATATATTAAATACAGTTCTATATTGTAAAAATTTATTTAAAAAAAAACCGAGCACAGGGGGATCGCGGCACAGTGGTGACGTGACATAATTGGATCAAGTTTAATAATATATGACAGTGATTAAAATCACTATCAAAAAAAAACGCTTCGATGCAAATCTTTAGATAGTTTTTAATTTTAAAAAATTGGTGGATTATTCCAAAAGCTATATGATCTGCTAGTTCCTTATTAATATCCTAATTAAAATAAAGTATGTCGTATGAAAAAGGGATTATTAAAAAATATTATTTCCCAAAAAAATTATGTTGTTCCATACACTTTTAAATAAGTTATATCATTATATAGTTAAAAATGTTAAAAGTAAAATCGAGAATTTTCACACAATAATAGCATTTGGTAGCCATTTTCACCGTGAAGACAAAATAAAGTCCAAAATTTTTTTTGCATAATAAAGAACATTACATTAGCTTTAATTTAAGATAGATATAAATGTGTCACACTTTCCGGAACACTTTCAAAAGTCAAGTTGAATAAAATTAACTTTTTGTGAAAAAGTTGTCATTTTCAATCCCCCCCCTGTAGTCAGGTAAAAAGTGAGATTTATAAAAATAATATACCAAATGATAGATAAATACATCATGCATCTATATAAAAAAAAAAATTATATTGATTTGGTTATTTTTAAAAAAGTTATAGCAATTTTAAGTATAAAAAATTAAAAAAATTTCGAAAATTAGGGATTTTTAAATTTGTAATTTTTTTGGAGGTTTCTCCCATTTACGGGGGACGAGGGAAATTTTTTCAATTTTTAAGTGTAATGTCTTCGACTAGATACGATTTTTGATATTTTGGCGTACTGTTGAATGACATCGGTTCGGTGATCATAGTAAAATGAATAGCTTTGCATCAAGCTAAAATCATTAATTATTTTCCAATATTGTATTTATATTGCAAATATTTAAATGTTTTATGATAAACTGATCACTTTGTATTTGTATTTCAAGTCATTAGGCAAAATTTTAAATCAATTTTAATTTTCTATCCTAAAAAAATATTTGAAAAAAAATGTAAAATACTTTATTATATAAAAAAAAGAAATTTGGTCTTTATTTTGCTTTTACCGTGAAAATAATTACCGAATGCTATCGTGTTTTTAAAATCTCGATTTTATATTTTACATTTTTAACTTGAAATGTTACAAATTAGTGAAAAATGTATGGATCAATACAATATTTTTATAAGAAATTATATTTATATCCCTCTTTCATTCAACGTACTTTTTTTTATAATACTACCATCTGCCTTTATATATTTATTCATATATTACACTTATAAATCATAAAACATGTAATCAGGATATAAATAAGGAAATTGAAGATCATATTGCTTTTGGAATAATCCACCAATTTTTAAAATTAAACACTATCTAAAGTTTTACATTGAAGCGTTTTTTATGATAGTGATTTTAATCACTGTTAGATATCATAATACTTGACCCAACTATGCCACTTCACCACTGTGCCGCGACCCTCCTGTGCTAGGTATTTTTTATTTTAACTTTTTGAAAAATGTATGGATTATTATATCTTTTTTAAGATAAGTACTATTTATATTTATATATTATTAATATATGTATATTATATATACATATAAATATTTATTTATTCATATATTACACTCATAAATCATAAAACTTGTAATAAGAATATAAATGAGGAAATAGGAGCTTTTCGAATAATTCATTAATTTTTTAAAATTAAATATTATCTACAGATTTGCATCTACAAATTGACCGACCCTAAGTAGTTGGAATTAAGGCGAGGAAGAAGAAGAAGATCTGCAGATTTGCATCGAGGCATTTTTTATGACAGTGATTTTAATCACTGTCAGATATCATCTCAACTGGATCCAACTATGCAACGTCGACACTGTGCCGTGACCCCAATGTGATGGTTTTTTAAGTTGCATTTATTCTTAAACTATCAATTAAAAATTACTTTTTAGAATCATTCCTAATATGTATAGGGCTATAATTCTCATTTTTATTCTTAAATGAGACTAAGAGTACTGCCGATAAATAAAAATAGCAGCACCCATTCCTCACCTCCTATCCTAACTAAAATTTTTATAACTCCTGAAATACTGGTCAAAAGTTATTATCAATCAGTCATTTTCTTAATTGGATTATTTTCTATTTTATAAGTTAGTAAATTATGTAAGTCGCCATTTAAAAATATAAAGTTGACACTACTTTAAATATAAAGGATGATTCTAAAAAGTAATTATTAGTTGATAATTCAAGAAATACATGCAACTAAAAGAAATAAAAAAATCTTAAGATATAAGATTTATGATATACCGATCGCCCTATATTTTTGATAAATTTATACATTCTCTAAACTTAATAATCGTAAATTTTATATTTATGTAAATATAAAATTTGATATTTAAAAATAATTTTCCAAATTTTAAAATTCGTATTTATCAATATGGCACTTAAAAAACAACAAAAAAAAATTATCTCGATAAAATAATTAGAATGATTCATTGAAAAATTAAACATTTTTGTTAATACGACGTTCTATTGTGCTAACATGGCATTTGTAAATGAATTGCTACAAGTACGAATTCATGGTTAAAATAAAAAGAATACCATCAAAAAGTAGATTTTAAAGTTAAATTTTGATTTTTTGAGTCTGATATCAACAATTATTATTAATAAATTAAGAGTTATTAATGTAAATATTAAAGTCACGCATAATAATTTGACGTATTATATAATATAATTATATAATCAAAGCGACTTTGATGTAAATTTTTCTACCTGATAAAACGCACAATCGAGTATAGTTTAGAAATTCACTAATACTTACCTAAAGGAATTGGGATTGGCACTAAAAAAAATAGTGTATTAATTTATTTATTACAATCATTTAAATAAAAGTACTATATTTTTATAAAGTAGGTTAAAGGTCAAGCTAGATGTGTTGAAGTTAAAATTTCAATATACATTTTATTTGGCATAACAAACTTTATTGCAAATAATTATTTAGTATTTATTTGTGATGGGGAAAATTCAACATTTTTTAAAGTTTTTATAATTCAAGTTTTTTTGAATAAAAACTCAAAAAATTTTATTTTTTCTATAAAAATACCACAGAAATTAAAAATTGTTTGTAATGCAAATATTTCTTTAAATTCGCCTTTATACTCAAAAAATGAATTGAACTCAACATTCGATTACACTTTTATTTAGTTTAAGTATTATACACATAGAGACTAACGTTTTAGAAAACGAATTTTGGGACGTCTTGAGTTTCTAGCCGAAGTTATATATTTTAGAAGAATAAACAATAAGCGAGATAATCAAATTGCCTCTTCACCAAAAGTCGAACTAACATTTTTAGCTATTTCTTTACCTAACTTCCTAAATAAGGTCATATTCTTTTTAATAAGCAATATTGTTAAATTGGATACAATAATAAAGATTAAATTATAAAATAAATGAGAATTAGGATATATATTTAAAGTTTTTATGTGTGTATACATATGTTTTGTCGATTCTTTTAACAAATATACATTTAAGAGTAAAACCATACAACATTGTCTACAGAAAATTCATTTTTATAAATTTTAATCTATAACCTTTATGATTTAAGAAAAATTTAATAGTTTATACGTTTAAAACTAATATTTATCCCCGTTAACTAATTTTTCAATTATTATTAAATTTTGGAATGCGCTATCATATAATTAGCAATTTCGTCTGTGATTTATGTACTATAAATAAGACGTGTCTCAAATAATAGTAAAAATTCGTAATAATAACCAATTTAAACTATAAAATATGATTCGTATGAATCAAAAATCAATTTGTTCTTACTTGGCATATGAGGGTTAAATGCTAAAATGACAAAACAATGGTTTTAAAAAATATTATTTTAGATTATTAACTTATTTGTCGTAAAGGAATTGATAAGTTTTCATTTTTTAAATAAATTTTAAAGTTTTTTACTTAATGCAATTTTTTTAATTATAGCAAAGAAAAAATCAGTTAAAAAAACTTTTGTATTTATTTATTTATTAAGGTGCCTCAGAGTTAACTGCCACACTTATATTATACAAATGTATCATTATAGTAAATACTGAGTGTCTCAGACCTAACTGACAATGTTAATAAATTTTTACATAAATATCATTTTGTATTTTTTTTTTTAATAAATATAATTTCAATATATTACGCGTGGAAATCCAAATAGCCAAAATGTATATATTAGTATTTATTATTATAACATTTGAGAAATAAAAAATAAAAGTTATATAAGGTATCCTATCGTGATTTATTATTTAACTGTTCAAACTAATATTATAATTAGTAAATCACAGTAGGACACTCTGTATATTATATAACTATAATAGTATCAAAAAAATTACAGTGTTTTAATTTTATAAAAAAATTAAGAGATATTACAGAACAGAATCAAGATCGAAAGAAAAAAATATTCTCATTACCAAAGTGCATAATCTTTCTATTAGGCGATATACAAAGGAAATTTGTAGAAAAAAAAGATATATTAAATGAGACTACGGATCTGGTATTTCGAATATGAATAAGCATATTTAATAAAGTTGGAGGATCAATATTGTTAGAAAAGAGTTTATATAAACATGATTATGCTATGGCGATAATTAGATATGTATTTTAGTTTAAGATGCTGTCGGATGAGAGAATAATCATGAAGAGGACAATAAATATTTAACATGAATACTGCAAAACAAAAACTTTCTTTGAACATTTTCAAGTTTTGAACTTAGATTTTAGTTGAGGAAATTCCATAATATAGAACCGTATTCTAAATTAGGTCTCACAAAAGCACAATAGAGGTTTTTAGTGAGCCGTCTAATTTGAACTTAAAAGATATTCTAGTAAAAATATCTAGAAACTTTAACGTTTTACAGTAAATAATGTCAACATGAAATCTAGGACAAAGATTAGAAGTAAAACTGAATCCGACAATGTATTAAGCCAAAGTACTATTTTGAATAGTATTTGAGTCAGCAATAAATTTTAGTATTTGTTTAGAAGATATAGGTACGAGAGCAAATCGCAGTTGTAAAGGTTAATTTTTTTCTAAAAAAAAATTATTCAATACACCCCTTAGAATTTTTCTATTAAATGGAAATTTTTTTTGTACATTTGGTTGAAATTAAGTGACGTTAACAGGATCCGCAACTGGATTGAAAATTAGACTTTAATGTTGGTTTTACGATATTTGTCACTTATCTTACAAACTAAACTATTTACAAAAAATTATAGAATTTAAGTTATAGAAATAAATGTTTGCCTTAAAAAATTTTATTATCAAAAAAACCATATCTTTAATATTTAGACATAAAAAAATTTTGAAAACAACATGTTTTCATGTGATGGATCTAGTAATTACCTAAGATTTAGGATAATTAGAGCTCATATTAAAATGATTATGTTTTATTTTTAATAGTTGATATTTTAAAATAAACAAATTTTCAATATTAAAATATATTTAGTAATAACTACTCACGAATATTGTACGAAGCTGAAAAAAAATTAGTCTTATAATATTATTAATTAAAAAAAAATGTATTCAATTTACAGTCAACAATTGATCCAGATTTTTTTTTCTTTCCTTTTTTCTCTGATAAGAAACTTCCAGAAAAAAAAGGAAAACAAAGGGGCACGTGCAAATGTACATTTTTTATAACATCGTAAAAAATAATTAACTTGCTTACTTCCAATTTGACCATCACTGGCTGCAATATTATTAATTATTAAATAAATATTTTACAAATAATTTAATTATTATGTTAAAATTATCATTATATTTAACTAATCAGTTTTATCATTTTTAACATTTTTAACATTTATTATTTTGCTTCTTAATAAAAATTTAATATAGACTATACTCACGATAACTATATGGAATTTGTGCTAAAATTAAATAAATTTAACATATTTTGTAAAAACTTTTTATTCTCAGTTTTTTTTTTCTTGTACAACTGTACTTGAATTAATACTTTATACCAATTATTTTTTCATTTCAAGAATATTCTAATTAATTGGTTTGCAATGGTTAAATATTAAAATGATAACACATTTTTATACAAACTGCAAGTACAAATCTGTATAATAATTTTAAATGTTTATTTTATACAAATATAATATGGTTGTAAAGTCCTAAAAAAATATTAAATAGAATATTTTTTATAATACCATTGAACAAAGTATTTTGGGGGAATATATGGATCGAATTGTTCTTGTAGAAGAAGAAATTTTCTTAAAGACCCTTTTCCCAGATAAAATCCTATGTAATTAACAATTTGGAAAGTGGCACGGAGCCCCGTGACCCGTGCCACATTTATCATCCGTCGCCCCACTAGGTGTATACGGTAGTTTGCCTGACTAACACCGCGTGCGATACGCCACCGTACAAAGTCCAGCAAGTACCGCACGTCCGTCTACGGCCGCCACAAATATACGTTGACTAAGTCACCTTCGTGACCTCAAAAGGTTAAGGTCATCGACGTATTTCGCCTTACGGGCTCACTGTATTATTCGACACCGTGTCCGATTTCTAAATACATTTTAAGTATATTGTTTATCGTATCTTTGTTTTTTTGGTTTTGTGACGATTTTTGCTGAAGAAAATTAATATTCGGCTTAACATCACTTTGTCTAAGAACCCTGACGTTTAGCCGTAACAAATGTGAATATTTAAGACAATGATTATAAATAACATTATTAATTAATTAATAGCTGTTATTATCGAAGGTAAATTTAACTAATTTAAATTACTTATTACTATTACATAAAATTTAATTTAATTTCAAACATAAATCGTTTTTTAAGAAATGATGTTTGTAAAAAATATTTCTTTTAAATGATTTGTTAAAAAGTTAAATTTAATCTCTTTAATAAGTAAATTGAATAACAAATTTTTTATACTCACGATGATAATCAGGCGACGGAGGCTCTAAAATTATGAATGATTAATATGTTTAACATATGTTTTGGTGATAAATAAAAATATAAATCTAATAGGTCAGTAAATTTATTATATTAAATGTGACAATTTTTTTTATACAGAGATTTAATAATGAAAATATATTTATCATAAAACCTTAAGCTTAGGGTGACCATATTTAGAAAAAAAACAAGACATTTTTACTCTCCCCCAAAAAATTGCATTTTTAAATATAATTATAATAATTGTAAATATAATACATTTATTTTTTAAAATTAGAGGATTGCTTTTTAATAACATTAACAAAATTTGCTTTTTATTAAAAAATTTAATAATAGGCTTTATTGTTACACATCCATTTTTTAGCTTCGATTCGAAGCTGAGAAGGTATTGGTTTTACTAAGATGTGTTTTTTTTTTTTTTTTTTTTCTGTTACCACTTTTTCTCAGCTCTCACCGAACCGATTTCTTTCAACGATACGTCAAAAGATCACAAATCGTATCTAGTCGAAGACATTACCCTTCAAAATTGAAAAAATTTCCCTCGTTCCCCGTAAATGGGGGAAACCTCCAAAAAAATTACAAATTTAAAAATCGCTAATTTTCGAAATTTTTTCAATTTTTTTTACTAAAAACTGCCGTAACTTTTTTAAAAATGAACATATCAATATAATTCTTTTTTTTATAGATGCATGATGTCATTACCTATCATTTAGTATATTTTTTTTATAAATCTGACTTTTTACCTGCCCATAGGGGGTGATTTAAAATGACAACTTTTTCACAAAAAATTGACTTTTTCAACTTAAATTTTGAAAGTGTTTCGGAAAGTCTGACACTTTTATATATATCTTAAATTAAAGCTAATGTAATCTACTTTATTATGTAAAAAAAAAATTTCGGACTTTATTTTGTCTTCACGATGAAAATGGCTACCAAATGCTATTATTGTGTGAAAATTCTCAATTTTATTTTTTACATTTTTAACTTTATAATGCTATAACTTATTGTAAAGTGTATTGATCAATATAATTTTTTTATGGGAAATACTATTTTTAATATTCCTTTTTTCATTCGACATACTTTATCTTAATCAGGATATTAATAAGGAACTAGCAACTATTATATTATTTTTATAATATCTTCATAAAAAGTACAATATTAAATTATTGAATATCAATTTCATACTAAATTTATTTATTATAATTATTATTTATTCATATATTATAATTAGTAACCAAATAACTAATTGGGGTAAAATTAAAGGAATAAGAGTTATTGTTGCTTTTAAAATAATCTACAAATTTCTTAAAATTGAACACTATATACTGATTTGCATCGAACCGTTTTTTATGATAGTGATTTTAATCACTGTCAGATATCATTATACTTGATCCAACTATGCCACGTCACCACTGTGCCGCGACCTCCCTGTGCTGGGTTTTTTTTTTAACTACATATAAGCAAAATATCCAGTTATCTTTATTATTCCAGAATTTGATAACCATTTTTTACACTTTTCACTCTTTTTCATACTTTTCTGAAAAACTTGTTGAATTTAACAATTTTGGTTACTTCAAAATAAATTTATAAAATTTTGAACTAGTTAAATTTTTTAAGTGTTGTTTCGCAATAATTATTGATCTTATGATTTCGATATTAAAACGGTTTTTTTCATCTGCCCAGAATAAATTTGTTACTAAAAATACTGTTTCTATATATTCATTTGTTCCAGGTAAAGCCAATAAGTATTTAATAATTATTGACGAAGTATTATATATTTCTAGAGTTTGAAATACATCAAACCGCTTTTCTATGACTTTTATTTATCAATTTTTACAGTTTACAATTTTAACTTGTATGACATGAACTACATGATTATATTCATCAAATAGCTTATCCTCATTCAAATTCCAATCCAAATTGTTTTTTTATTTTTAAATAAATATTTAATGTTTTTTCTTGAATATCTACCCAAGCAGGAATATCTGATATCTGAGTCCAACGAAAAATTTTGAACGGTTCATCAAAATGACAACTTCATTTTTCCACATAAGATGATAAGAGAACACTACAAAAATCATCAACTTCTTCTATAAATTATTTTTACTGTATATCTTTTTTTTATCATGTTCTTCAATAAGTAAAACGAATTTTGTTGTAAAAAAATGTTTGATCTTGCCTGTTTCTTATTTTTCACTTACCACTTCCATTTTTTTATACACTTCACTCGCTGATATATCGTCAATTCTCATTATTGTATCGTAAACTACTTTCAATTGACTTTTAATTAAAAAAAACCATACATAGAGACAGGATTATCGGAAAACTGTTTCAAAATTGTAGGATATTGAGCTTGAGTTAAAAAATAAGTTTTAAATACTTAATATTTTGAATAAATCTATAATTCTAGTAACAGATGGTTGCAAAAATAGGCACCGTGTTTTAACAGTACCTAAAATATTTTTGTACACAGCCGAAATTGGCTGTTATTTCTCAAAAAATAACTTAATTTTGTAATTTTATTAACTTAATTTTATTGGAAGAACTGTACTACTCCTCTAAAACATCCATTATGTAACTAGACAAAATATCTACGGTTTCACCTTGTAAGTTTTTCAATTCTAAATACTTTGATTTTTACTCCCTTTTGTGGATTAAAATATCGAATAATTATTGGTAAAAGTTTTAAATTTTAATGATTTGATATATCTACTATAAATGTTTCATATTTGTTTTTTTTAACTCATATAATACTTATTCTATTGCAAAAGGAGCGATTATTTTTGACACAATCGTTTCACATTTATTCGATTGCAAGACAATTTTTTATTATGAATTTTCTTTATTAGTGAGGACTTACAATCCATAGATTGAAAGAATGGTTGTGCACACTAATATTAAATGCAAACATACATTCTTCTGTCGCGATACCTTTGTTTTCATCTAATAACCTAGAATGTCATTTCTTGATAATAAATGAAGTTAATTTATCGGATTTCGAACTATTTGACACGGTCAATAAATGTTTTCTTAATTGTTAGTTCGTAGTGCACGCGAACTTCGTATATGATTTTGTCTCATGTTTATTGCTAATTTCATTATTCGTCGTCTTCCATCATTCTTCCTCATTCCAAAACTATTTACTGTTATTAATAACGTTGTTTTCAAATATTAAGTATAAAAGTATTTTATGTATTTTTTAAAAATTTAATTTTTTCTTTTTTATAATTATAATGTAATAATATGGAAAAAACGGAACTATTTTCTAAAAACCGTATAAAAAGCGTCCCGTTTGTATTTTGTCGGAACAACTAAACATTGGTTATCAAAAAAACGACAATCCCGTTTTAAACAGCACATATGGTCTCCCTACTTTAGCTTCCATGGACTTCACATGTTTCATGTTATACTCTTGTTATTTTTTTACTATAACTGTACGTTGAATTTATTATTTTTATAATAAAATATTTTATTTTTAATTAGTCTTGTTTAAAATAATCGAAGCACAAACTTGAGAGATAACAAAAATATTAATATCATAGTGATCATTTGTAAAAAATGAATAATTTTCTTATTGCCCAATATGAAAAATAATCGTAATCCGCCGGTCACACCGTTATTCAAAAAAAATCAACACTCCGATATTTATCCATATCCATATCATAATTACAATTAGCAAAGTCATAAAATAGTTCTGAGCAATCTAAAAATTAAAGCGAAGAAATGGAAAAACCAATTTTTAGCACAAGGTGTTACATAGAATTCTATAGTAAGAGTGAACACATGTTATATTTTACTGCACTTTAAAAATATTAGAAAAACAATATTAAGTAATGATCCATAACAGATATAAATTATATTGAATTAGACTAAATTTAATTAAATTACATTACTGGAAAGCCAAATTTCAGTTAGTATGATATAATAGAAATCGCAAAAGGCAACATTGCAGATAAATACATCACATCTAGTATTAATACCACAAAAACAGTTTTTGACAGAATTGTCTACTTAATAGACGATTCCATTAAAATTATCGAATTACTTCATCGTTTTTGTAATAATCGGATAATTAGTAATAAATTAAATGAATAAATCAGTTTCACCAGCATCTTTAGCATCTGGTTATACTGTTATAGAATTTGATCTAGCGAAATCGAAACATTTTTATTTTATTCATAATATCGGATGTCATTTAACTCTCCAAATTTAATAAACACAATAGATGAAGATAAAACGATCCCTTTACGACGAAGTCATTGATAAAATACAAATAGGATATTTCGGCAACGGTTTTTGGACCTAAAATAAGACTAACTGGTAAATAGTGTTTGTGTCATCAATATTGATTGGCTCATAATTTTTTCAACCAATAGATGATCGTGATACTAAGGCTAACTATTAAATACTTATGGCTGAAGTACAAAAAGAGCATTGCTGAAATTTTTTATTGCGTGGACTATTTATTAGTATTTAATCAATGACGGTGGTAATTTTTTAGACATTATTTATTTATTTTTATATGCAGTAAAAATAACTTAAGTTTTAAACAACACACTATAAAAAAGAAACTCATAATCACGACCGATCGGTTTCAAAGATTACAGTAGTTGACAAATGTATTTAAAAAATTATTATATACGGAAAGATTTAGGCATCAAAACTGTTAAAAAACTTACATCTTGACACTATACAATATTTCACTTAATATACGACATAAAAACAAATCTTTTTATGAAAAAAAATGTACGCAAAACCCACAACGTAAACTTAAACGCATCTGAAACCGAGACCTTTTTTCAATATAACATCAAAAATAAAGTACAACTAAAACATAACCCTAACTAGGGTAATTGAAGTGTTATCAACTTTCTTTAACGATACTACGATATGTAAAACATGCCAAAAAAAAATTTGTATTAATTAATTCTATACGAATTGTTATTCTAATATAAAAACATATATGTATTAAAACATTTATATAAGTAAATTTAAAAAACCTTATATTGTTAAACATTTTAATTTTATTAGTAATGCCCAAATTTCCTTAAATAAACTTTAATAATCTATCAATTCAGTAATAATATATTTTTATTCATACCTTCATGAATATTATCATTAGGTCCTAGATCTATAAAACAAAAATTATATTATTCATCATATTCTTATCAATTATAATAGATTAATGAATTTTAATTTTTTCTTTATAGCACAATAAAAAACGGAGATTTAAGTATTTTTCTTTTAAAATATTTATATTATAATATTTTTAAAGTGAGTATTTATTTTAATTATTATAAACATTTTTTAAATATTATCACAGAAAAAGTATATAAAATATAATTGGATATCCCAAAACACGAATCTTGAATATAAATTCAATGTTCCGCTAATTTTATCTATTTCATAATTAAACAATACAAATAAATAGATAGGATATCATAAAAAATCACGAAATGTTACGAAATCACAAAAGGGCTAGTTAGTTCGATAGATTCATAACACATAAGAGCTATTTTATATTGATAAAATAGATATCTCACGAGTTTAAACATTTATATGTTAATTTATTATGAACAAAAATATTTTTATTTTAATATAATAAACTAGTTGCATACTTGTTGAATCATCATAATCTATAAGTACAAATTAATAATTTTAATAAAATTGATTAAAAGTATTATATATATATATATATTCATTAAGTTCTAAATATTTCTTCTTAAAATTATGGCGAAACATATCGATAGGTACATATAACATGATACTACATAAAAACCCTATTCATAAGGACCAACATGCGTGTCAAACAGAGAAATTTACTGTCTCAGCTCTTCATAATTGAACTACTAAAGTGAGGAAAGCTATAAAGGGTAAAATCTACGCAGTGGACATATTCCTGTATATTGAAGGGACTTTTGATAATACGCCCTTTAATGCTATGTGTGAATCTAAACAACAGTATGAAATAGAACCATTTATTATTAAGTGGATAGAAATCATGCTTTACAAACGTTTTAAAATCAAAGTAACTAAGAGTAATAAAAAAGGATGTCTAGAAAGTGGAATTCAATTTCTTTTGCTATGGTGTCTAGTTTTAGACTCACTTATTAAAGAGTTAAATCAATATTGTTATATACAAACCTATATGGATGACTTATCTATAGAAGTAGTGGATTAATTCCCAAATACTATTATAGACTTGGCACACTTACCCTGAATGGAAGTAAATTTAGCTTAAAGTCTAAACTAAGAATTGTAATTCTATATTGGCTATACATTCAGTGATTAAACCTGTTTTTAGTGCCTTGGTCTGGTGGATCAATACAACCAGGCGAGAAATTAAACGCAATCAAAGACTGGCTATAGCCGCCAGTCTTTGAATGTTTGAATGGGCATTGGAGGCACTAATTGGACTACCTCCTTTATAGCTTGAGGTTAAAGTTCATACATATTCTACAGTACTAAGATACCACAAATTTTGGGTATTGACGCTGTAGAACATATTAAAATTCTAAAAGAGATAGACCAGCGTGTACTCGGATATCCACCGGACTGTATCAAACATGTTTTCCAAAATAACATACTCTACAAAGTTGAGATCTTAACATACAGGGAATGGAATATAAACCAAAGGAATAGGAAAAGTGGGTTTTTAATCTATATAAATGGTTTCAAGAAATCATAAAAGATAGGTGATGGCATTTGCGGACTAAAAACTCCCATAAATGACAGCATGTCATTTAACACAATATCCTCTATGTACAAAGATGTAATAGCAATACTAGTAGGGAACCCAGAATCTAATAGTATTCAAGAAAATGAACAGAACTATCCTAAGTGATAGTCTTGAAGTTTTGGAGGCACTTATTAATCACGTGACTTCAAGTCTAGTCCTTAAATGCAGTGTAATTTTAAAATAACTAGCAAGGTTCAATAAAGTTACACTAACATGGGTAAGTGTAGTAGCGATGTGATTGGTAATGAAGAAACAAATTTTCTAATATAAAAAATGTAGAAAATACTTAGGTTGTACTAGAACTAGTGATAGAACTCATGGAACAATATTTCAAAGTACTACCCAAAAACTGATATAGAAAATAACAATAAATAGACATGTTTTTCATTGCTCTTTTTTTCATTGTAAGTAATATTAGATCAAACAGCTTGTTTTAAATACCTTTATGAAAGTAAAAAAAAAGTCATATTTAGGTACAATTAATACATAGCTTTATCTCATGTGAAATCGTTTATTAGAAAAATTTATCAAAATCTAAAATATCTTTTTGCTCATTTTTGCTCAAAATTCAATTTAACTATAAATTAAGTAGAAATAATAATATATTAATTTATAATGCAGTATTAAATTAATATATTACAAAAACAATAGTGTTAATTATTAATATTGTATATTATGTAACTGATATAATGATAACATTATTTTTAGAAAATAATTAAAAGTCTTATAATCAACTACAAAACGTCTACATTACAACAATGTCGACTAGTAATTGTTTATCATGGATAATAAATTATTATATAAAAGAATATTATAATTAAAAGTATAATTCGATTTTTAACATCAATCTCCAATTTATTTTTTGATTATTAATCAACCCACACATTATATTGGTTCTAAGCGAGAATTCGGAAAAAATTTCGAGAGGAAGTCATTGTATTATTTTAGTTTAATAATAGGAATTTTCTCAATATAATTATCATTTTAAGAGCAATGAAGTAACTATTATTAAAAGAATCACTCTGTATACAATAACTCTTTATAATTTCTCCGTTCAAATTACCATACTAAATTATTCAAAATCAATTTCATACTAAATTTAATTAATATAATAAGTATTCATTAACTTATTATAAATTTATAAATTATAAAACTTGTAATCCAGATATAAATAAGGAAATAGAAGTACATATTGTTTTTAGAATAATTGAATAATTCTTTCTAAAAATTAAACATTATCTACAGATTTACATAAATCTACATCGAAGCGTTGTTTTCATCATAGCGATTTTAATTACCGTCAAATACCATCTATACTTGTCACCACTGCGCTACTTTTTTTTTTATTACTAAAATGTATTTACAGTAAATAAAGTTATTCTATTTTCAATAACTACGCATTTTCGGGTATTGGATAACAGATACCTTAAGGTGAACTGGAATTATTAAGAAGTGATAAGTGCAATGGTTTTCCGTTGCCTTTCTGCACTGGGTTTTTTACTATCGTAATACGCACATGACACCCATCCGTACACTAAGGTAACGGGCGTGACTTAACATTAGACTTTGATCAACATCTAGTGTATCCATCACGCCAGACCATAATTAAAATTTTGTCTATGAATAATTTTTAATACGAAGATAATCGAGTATAATACTTACTGTTTATTACTTAACAATTTATGATTTAATTGTATTTAAAATTTTTTTTTTAAATTATAAAAATCTAATCTATTATTAAATTTATTATTATATATTTAATTGTTTTTTGTGTACTTAGCATGCTAAATACATTGATGTCAATTTATTCTATTAAAAGAATATTTTGTACAAACTAAAAAGTTTAATTGAATATATAAAATATAAAAACCTCAGCTGAAATAATTAATTGGTAGTATTAATTTATATATTTTGTATATTTAAAATAATTCATACTCACTAGTAGAATTAGTGGTTTGCGCTAAAATAATATATACATATATATATTTGATATTTTCTTTTTATTAAACTATAATTGATTTAATTTATTTTTATTAATCGAAAGTTTCTACTATTCACACCGATTTGGCTACCAACCTTCATTTAAAGTTCAAGAAGTTTAACCTTTGGGACTAAATTTAGTAGTTTTTTATCATGAGATGCTTAGAACAGAGGCGTCATTTAAAAATTATTCTTTGCACATAAAGTTATCACAAAGAATAATAAGAAGTGAGTAAGTGGGGTAAAGAGTGTTGATAGGCAAAGTTACCAAAAGCCTTGGAAGCCAAAATTGATTTCACAGAATAATAATTAATTTTAAAACAATGACTTTTATTCAATTATAAAATTAATAATCTTATTGTTCATTTTAACTACATATAAAAATATACTCACAATCTTCTGCCTCAAATCTCGCTAAAAAAAAAAAAAAATTATCGAACTGCTTTAACCTTAATACTTATGTGTAAAATACCATCCCGTCTATCACTTGTGTAAGTTTCTCTGCAACAAGGACATTTATAATTCACAGTTTCCTTCAATTTATAGATACATTCTTTGCAAAATTTATGTTCACAAGGGCCGATTTTTTTGTTTGGCTTTCTATCGGCACAGATAATACACTTCGCTAAAGAAGATTATAAGCCACAGTTTATTTTAACATAACGAAATCGAATATTATACAGGATGGCCCACCACTCACTGACAACTTAAATAACTTTTGATCCAGTTAATATTTTTAGCTGATTTTTTTTTTAAATAATAGTTATATGTTAGGTCTATAGCTATATCTCAATAATTATTTTTTTTACATTTTATTAAAAATATTAATTTTTAAATTTTAAATAAAATGTAAAAAAAAAATCTAAGATAGCCATTTTGTAGAGTAGAATTTAAGAAAAATTTTCATAAAAAAATATTTTATTAATATTCAGTAGTAAATATTCTGTAGCATTTTAAAGTTTGTGAAAATTTGAATTTTTTTGTATTATTTTACGGTATTAAACATTGAAATACGTATTGAGGAAAGGACAGAAGAAAACACTATCTTTTCGTGATTACTAAAATTTGTAGGTGTGTAACTTTTTCCAAGAATATGAAATACTTTGAATGAGAGTGATAAGCAGTATTTACCTTATCAAATTTCTTATCATGGTATTAATGCCAAGGTTGTAAATTATAGTAATCACAAAAAGATAGCGTTTTCTTCTGTCCTTTTCTGAATACGTATATCAATGTTTAATACCGTAAAATAATACATGAAAATTCAAATTTTCACAAACTTTAAATTGCTACAGAATATTTACTTCTGAATATTAATAAGATATTTTTTTACTAAAATTTTTCTTAAATCCTACTCTACAAAATAGCTATCTTGGATTTTTTTTTTACATTTTATTTAAAATTTAAAAATAATTAATATTTTTAATAAAATGTAAAAAAATTAATTATTGAGATATAGCTATAGACCTAACGTATAACTATTATTTAAAAAAAAAATCAACTAAAAATATTAACTGGATCAAAAGTTATTTAAGTTGTCAGTGAGTGGTGGGCCACCCTGTATATTAAAATTTTTTTTAATAGTTTTGTTTTCTTAGATTACATTCTAAACATATATTTTTTTTCTTAAACATTTATAAAAAAAATTGTTATTTTTAAAGTTTTGAATTTTTCAGCATTACTTACAAATAATTTTAATGGGTCTATAATAATTTTAGCACAAGTATTTATAAAGTCACAATCATCTTAACACATAGAGTGGATATGTAAAGCGACCAGGTTATACATCTCCAGTACGACTTGTATCTACCCGTACTGCATACCAACGCAGTGTATTTAAAAACTTATAACTCAATTTTCCTAAATTTTTTATTGACTCATCAAAATATTTTCTAAAAAAAGTGCTAAAAATTGGTTATTTCAATATAAAAAAGAAAAAATTATCTTTACTTTATCTTATTATTAGTAAATAATAAAAATTATACTTTAAACGTAGTCTAAGAAGGCAATAGTTATTAAAAAAAATTCACTAAAATGACAATTGGAACAAAAATTATTGGAATTATCATATTTTTGTGATTCACTTTGTATTTTATTTTTACTGTTGTAATGTATAATTATGCATAAAGAATTTTATAATTTTAAGTGGTTATCAACAGTTAATACACATTACATTTGGCTAAAAATGATCATTCCTTTATTACTGCGTATGAATATATTAAAAGAAACCCTGACCTTAACACCTTTTGGCTAAGAATTTTAGACATAGTTTTTTGAACCAGTTTCTAGAGATACTCGTCTAAATTAATTTTAGACATTTTTAAAGATTATTGGATTTTACTTCTAATTGTTTAAATTATAAATTATTATTGTTAAATATAGAATTTGTGACTAAACTTATTGTTTAAGTATCTATAGCCTGTGGCCAAGGTCAAAGTTTTTTTTTTATCCTGAATGAAGTCATAAATAGCATAAATCTGTTGCTGACCTTTTTTATTTTTAGAATAAATATCTTAAAATTCTACCCTAAATTGTACCCAGAGATAGTCACTTATATTTAGAGATGACTCTTGAACGAATTTCTGATTATAATTAGAAATTTTCAATTTCTATTAATGAAGTCCTAACTATTAGTAAAAAAAAATACTTCAAAATATACTTTTACAACTTGGTACTAGCTAAATTATTTACTATTGAATTTTTTTAATGCTATTTGACATTTAATTATAACTCACTTGTTTCACCATCCAAATCTTCATCATTCTCATTTGGTACAACTGAACCCTTTAGTTTAACTATAAATAGTTCAACTTAATTATGAGTAATCAGATATATCTTAAACATATATAATAATTAAAAATCTAAAAAATTATATTAGCATAGAATATAGTGACAAATACACGAGAGTGGAAATAGCAAATACTGTTGAGGTTTGATTTATATAAAATGTATTTATGAAATGTTATTCTTATCATTACTGAAATTCTATTGTATCATTATGAAAAATTGTACACTTGCTCACGACTAGTGTACTTGTCAAATATTCGTCAGTGGTGTAAACTTTCCAAGCCGTCGAAGCACTACTTGGGATCGATATAAAAAAGGAATCGTATAAATAGTTGACGTTAAGGATATCAAGAGGTAATTTTTAATAATATTTAACAATTATCAACGAAGATAATTGTGTCCTGTGACTTTACACTGAGAATAGCTGGGCTACCATAGTCTTGTTCGTTACATTTTGAATATAGATAGGCATGTTCTTATAATTTTATCATCACAGATTCATATTGAGTTTTAAAAATACCGATTGGACTGTAGGGGAATATATTAAAAATATTATTAGTAAAAGTTTAATATAGTATAAAAAGAGTTTGAAAAACATTTAAAAGAGATCATAAATCATTATAGACATATGTCCCATTAAATAGAATCTACAAAAGCTCGTATTGATAATTAAAGTATAATATACACATAAATTTAATTAATCGAAATAAACGCCAAACGATTGTTATCACTGAACTGAGAATTTAATACAAGATCAATTCAAACAACCGTAAAAGGAAACAAAGGTAAGTGCAAATATTTCTTTGCATGATTTACTTTTCACAACTTCAAGTAATAAATAAGAGTAGAGAGAGGTAAGATCGGGACAATTTTGTTGAATTGCTAAATTATTAAGGTTAGACTTTGTCACGGTTCTAAGCCACTTCCTTTTACATGAAACCCGCGACCCGCTCCATTGCTCTTTCTCCATACAATGTATTTATGGTACTTGGACTGATTAACACGGCGTGCCATATACCACAATCAAAGTTCAGCAAGTGTGGCACATCTGACGACGGCCTGCCGCAAGTGTACGTTGAAGTCATCTTCGGGACACCGCCTTATGCCAATTGTGATAAAACACTGTATTACCCACACCGGTTTTATGTCAACGCATCTTTTATTTTGATTATTTGTACTGTGTTATTATTCTTAATCTTAAATTTTGTGTAATATTATTTCAATTTCTAGCTTGTCTAGTTTTTTGTGCGAATAAACGACACTACACCAATTTCCAAATTGTATCGGTTATGTTTGTTTTGTGTGAAAAATAACCACAATACCCGTATCAACTTTACTATACACATCAACCCCGAGTTCCCTTATATAAAAACAAATATCCCAACTTTCTATATGTAAATTTTTTTGTTTATTATAAATGAACTATTTATTAATAGTTGGACAACTTGACAAGGATACTAGTCATGAGGTACCAACTTATTGTGATGTAATATTCTCCTTTAGAATATTTATAATATAATCAATAGCTCCTCTATTTCTCAGACCACATAATAAAGATAACGCATTTTTTATAATTAAAAACATAAAAAACACCTTATGTTCTAGAGCCTATAACTTCACATTCAAATAAGCAATCACTGTGGACTAGCACTGTTTTATTCATATTAAATAGTACTTTAATTTCAATTTTAAGTTTATGAATTTTGAATTTTTTTTAACATCGAAATATTGATTTAAATTTTGCAGTATTTTAATAGCAAAATTTTGATGGTCAAAAAAATTTTTTTTTCTATTCAGAACTTTTAGTTATGTTCTTTCAGCCCATATTATATTTGAATCGATTTATAATTTTTTTATGTATCGTTTTACGGTCCTGAACACGCATGGTTTGCTAAAAATAGCCAACTTTATCATCTCATTACACAAAAGTAACTGAATGAATTTTTTTTAATTTACATTGTATTTACCTTTAGGCAATTATAAAACATCTGGTGAAAATTTGATGATGGAGAAATAATTTTAACGCTACTTATAGAATTTACAAAATTTTAAATGTGCATATTGAAAATCCACAAACTACATAATTCTCAACATTTTATTTTTATTTTTTGTATTTATTCTGCGTTCTGTACTAGATTAAGTTATTGGAACTCATAACAAAATCCTAGGTGCAATGGCTAATTTCGGAAAAACTCTATTATTTTTCTTTATAAAGTTAATTACATCAATATATATTGTTGATTCTTCGACTACGCTTTGGTAAATTAAGAATTTTTCAGATAAATCATACACACAAATATCTTTTTCGTCTTCAGATTGTAGATGTAATACCTATTCATAGAATTAGATCTAAGTTGTTCTTTATTTTTATTTAATAGTGAGTATTTAAGCTTTCAAATTAGTTGTATTAAATCCAGTTTCTATAAAATTTTAAAAAACTTGACGAGTCCTTAAATAATTCAGAAGAAATATTGAATTCCACATTTGAACTTTGTAAACTTTTGCTAACAATGTTCACTTTACTCAATACTGTTATCGAAATATATAAACTCATGAGGATTTCTATTGTGCTAATTGCCAAAATTAATGAATTAGTTTGGTATTTAATTAGCGGATCATGTAATGTATCTAATATTTCTTGAATGTGACATGAAACTTTATTACTTTAATACCACCACACCTCCTTAGTTATCTTATTTCTGACAATTTTTTTACTGTGCACTTTTGGCAATTTTAAGAAAATATAATTTTAACATCACTTATAGAGTTTCAAAATTTATAATTTACGTATTATGGAAAAGTCATAATCTACGTCATTTTCAACATTTAATTTTTTGCATTTATTCTACACGAAAATAAAATACTACATACCATTGTAAGCAACTAATTTTTAAGTAATAATTTTTTCAAATATTATGTACTTTAAATCATTTTTTTATTCTAAAAATATAATAAAATGTGTTATATTTTTGTGTGTAATGTAGAATAATTTTTACTATAAATTTCCTTAAAAATCATTCTACATTATAATTTTATTCTATTTATATATTATATATAAATATAAGTAATATTTCTGTTTACATCATACCTAATTATAATTAAACTGATTATAATCAAATACAATAAAATACAAAGTTATACATTAATAGGTTGTTCTTCTTTTTTTTCCGCACCTTAATCCCAGTTACTTGGGTCGGCTATCCTTATCCTAAACTTCCATTTGACACGATCTCCCACGTCCTCAGGTTAGTTTTTAAAAAAAAAACATTATTAGATCTAAATTTATAAACTTTGTATTACATCTACAATCTGAAATTGAAAAAGTTATTTGAGCGTATGATTTATTTGAAAAATTCTTAATTTGCCTAAGCGTAGTCGAAGAATCAACAATATCTATTAAGAAGTCTAAGAAGTCTATTAAAAAAATTTCCAAAATTTTTGAACTGTGACAGCACACACATTAGATGAAATTACATGGAAAGACTCCTATCCCCTTTTGCGCTGTTCGTGGCACTATATACAGAGTTAGTTTTTTATTATAATCCTCTCAATTACTTACAAAATAAAAATAATTTAAACATTTTTTTTTTGTTTATCTTTAGTTACGCATTAATCTTGAATTATTAACTTTTTAATACTTTTAAAGTTCAGCCCTAATGTCTTGTTAACTTTAATTTTTAAATGGTAATATTTTTTTAATTTAATAGTAAATGGCATTTAAATTTTTAGTATAACTTTATTTGTTTTTGTTTTTTAATGAAGTCTTGTCAGAGTCACGATTGTTAATTATCAATTATGTATATCAATAGATATACTTTCTGTATTGTCAGTCTAGAATAATATGTAACTAAAGATAACCAAAAAAATATTTAAATTATATTTATTTTATAAGTAATTGAGTGAGTTATGAAAAAAAAAATCATCTGTATAAGGGCTTTTCCTCTCACTTATCTTTATTTCTCACGTTATCGTCTCAGACTATTCTCTATCACAATATGTTCTAGTGTATTGCGTTATTATATTGTAATGATTTCATTTATGAGTGGGGAACATGAAAGGTATCATTAGAGCTCAACATGAATTTATGAACATTAAAATGTATAAAGAACAGCACTTCAAGACAATTAATTTTAGAATTTAGTAAATTATATAGTCAGCATAAATCATAAAATAGTCTTCTAAATTCTAGTGAGTATATTAAATTCAACCTCTAAAAATTTTAATCTTAGGTCAACTTTGTATTATTTGTAAAAATTTATTTTATATTGTTCCGATCTTTATATAAGATAATTTTGATACGGACCCAGATTATAGAGCCACAATCTAAAATTTAACGGACAAGTAAAAAGTATAACACTTTTAAGCAATTAGGATCGTATGTAATTATTAGAAATAACATAAATATGTTCAATAAATGAAAGATCATGAGAATTATTGTTATCTATTTAATGTTTAAAATTTAAATTCTGCTTATTCCATGAGAATGTAATTTGTAAGAACTTTTCTATATTTAAATTAAATATATTGTATTAATATAATAACAATATATAGTACATTGATTAATATCAAATTATAATTTATTGCAATCAATTGTTGAAATGGCATATAAAGTTTGAAATCATTAGTAAATAATTCAAATTTACAATAACGAAATATATGTTTTATATGATCCATAAATAAAAGAATAGTGTTGCCGAGTCGGTAACGCGGCAGTGCTTAACGCGCACTGTCTCGGGTTCGAAACTCGGTCACTGGCGGCTTCATTTGCCGAACGAGATATCAGTTTGGTAATTGGAGTTGCCCTCCCTCTCTCCGACGACGGACTATCCAACCGTCTCGAAGTATCAATGTCTTAGAAACTTCTCCTTTGAAGGAGACCGCTATGGCTCTTAATGAGCTTATAAAGCGTTAAAAAAATTATTCATAAATAATATAATTTATTTATTTAAACTACCAATAAAGTGATGATACTTACACGAAGAAAGTTTTTCTATAAGAAAAATATCAACAATATAATTATTATACACTCATTAGTTTTAATATAACACTTATTTTCGTTCTTCGTGAAAGAAGTATGTAAATATTTTTTACTAGGTTTAAGAAGTTTAGTCAAAACATAATATATCAATATAATAAGTTTTAATCACTTGATGCTAATATTATATAAAATAAAAATATATTCATAATATTAATGTAAAAATGGATGATATTACTCGTATTAATACAAATATTTTTGCGTACGTTTTAAAAGACCGACATACTTATCTAATAATAATATTTTTATTTTTCATTTTTTAGTTACATACTTTTAACTATTAATTTTTAATTTATGGTAAATGAAGAAAATTTTATATTAATCTCCTGTACCATATAAGATCGTCTAGTAGCGTAAAAAATATTTCGTCTTGAAGAAGAAATACATAAGAAAATTTTTACCCTTACAACGAAATAAAATTTGAATAGTCTAGTTTAGTCTAATCTAGAAATTTAATATTAATCAAATATTTTCTAATTCCCATAGTTATTCGCATTTATTTTAATTTTATAACAAGAATAATTTTTTACTTACTGGTTAAACCCTTTAATTTTCCTGGTGTTACTGTAATTAAATTACTTATTAGTCAATAACTAATATATATGTAAGGATATACAAGAAAAACGTTAATTGTCCATTTTTTTTTGTCTTTGGATTTTATAATTTGAATTGATAACTTTTAGCAATAGTATCAAACAATAGAATCCATTTAATAAAAAATGTTTTCATCAACCTAATACTAAAACGTCTATTTTTTTTTATTCTTAAAGGGGATAGGAATTATAACTTTGTCCTTGCTTTCCCGAAAAAATGTACAAAGATGGACAATTACCATTTATCTTCTGTACCTTTTATTTTATAAATACAATTTATTTATTAATAATATAAATAATTTATTACCATGGTTTATTAGCGCAATTAATAGCAACAAAGTAACTAATGTGTTTAATGAGTTCTAAAATTATTTAGTTATAAGAATTTTTTAGATATAAAAAACGAAAGTTTTCTGAAATATGTTTGTATATTACATACCATATTTAATGATTTATTTTTTACAGCATCAATTATTTTATGTCACGACAAACTACTTCTTTCCAAATCTAAAATGAATTTAAAAAATGAAAGATGTCATATTTAAAAAAAAAATTTAGCAAAATTTAGATTATTGAAACAGATTCCTAGTAATACTGCTGTTCTAATAAAACTTATACAGGGTGATAAACTAATATAATTTAAATTTAAAATTTGTTTATTATTATGACCATAATCAGATATAAACTCTAACATATTGATTGTCTTATAATATTAAAATATTATTTTATTGAAATATTACAGATTTAATATTGTTATAAAGTTAGCAGAATGGTCGAATATTCAAATTACTAAGTTTTAACAATAATAGGAAAATAAAGTATATGATATATTTTAAGATTAATAATTACAAAATATTTCCAGAAAACTGTTTGCAAAAAGCTAGTAATATATTGTATATATAATTTTAACAATGTTTAACTAAAAATATTGAATATTAAAATTTTAGGGTACTTTTTCATGATAATTTCAGTACATCTTATCACTAATAATTATAATGATAAGATGTATTATTTTATTTATACATATTTCTTATTTATATTACTATAATATTGACAATAATAGTAATATAATTAAGATTAATATGTTAATACAGTGTAATATTTATTGGGGTCTTTGCTAATATGTAGACCAATTGGACAATCCATTGATATAGAAAAATGTTAACGGTTGGGTTGATGCTCCCCTCTATTATACTTGCTGAAAATTATCTGGAATTCTATAACAAATTCCAAAATACACCATTAAACTTTTTTCATTATCAGTTATAAGGTGAATGTTCCTTTAATGAATTCGCTGGATTCTTAGAATTTTTTTAAAAATTACTATTCATAAAAACCTGATTTGTCGTCACTATAATACGTTACATTAATATTTTTTGATGTTCCTAAAATACTATGGTAACAATATTATAAAATTTTTAAAATGTTAAATTGTTATCAGGGATGTATTTTATTGTTTATTTACATGAAAATTAATTTTTTTTAAATCAAAAATCAATTAAAAAATCTTATGCTTTTGTAATAAAATTGAAATTGAATGTTCAGAATATGAAGGTTTTTTTTTCATATAATTATTTTAAAGATATGGAATTTTGTTAATCATGTTGACATTTTTTAAAGTGTCTTTATATTTGAAAAATTTTAAATAACAAAAACCTGTAAATTAAGTACTGTACTTTTATATCAATCATTATAATATTCTTTCCTCAAATGTAAAAAATAATAAGTACTTATTTAATTTCAAAAAGTACCATTTAAACTACATTTATTTTAATAAAACATGCAAGGCTGTCATATTAATTTTTATTTTAATAGTGAAACCGTTATGTTGATTCTTTAAACTAAATAATAATTCAATCGATTAAATTTTACAAAAATATCATATTATAACAAAAAATAGCGGTATCTTAATATTAAACCACCTTATACATTTAAACTGTTTTTAAACTAATTGTTTATCTTAAGTAAAAATACATGTAAAATTTATGACGTGAACGTTGTTCAAGACTCATCAATAACAACTGTAACTCACTATGTAAATATAAAATAACTAAAATATTACCTATTGAATGTCATTAAAAGTTTTTTTTTTATATTCATATGCGAATATTTTATTTAATTAACAATATACGTTTAAAGATTCGTAATAAATTACAAATTTCTATATGGAAATAAAGAGCTTTGTGTAAAAACAAAATTACTTTATTATTTTTATCCATTTTTAATTATATTTTGATGGTTCTAAATTAAAATTATGAATAAATATATACTAGACAAAAAACTGAAATTAATGTGAAAAATAAAATGTTTATAGATATATGTCTAAAAATGCCTAGTTTTTCAGCTTCGTGAAAAATGGAGTACCTTATTTTTGTACAAATTAATCGACCACCAAAATATGTGTCAAAACGGAAATTTAATAAAATTATTTTATAAAATTGTATTATAATTTGAAAATAGTTTACTCATTATAATATTTGTCCGGATTTTTATGCATTATAAAAGTTCAAGATTATATACAAAAAACTTTAAAAAGTGCATTAAAATATATTATTAAAATTTAAAAATCTTACAAAAAAATATTTATTTTTGGTTAGTAATGATTTATAAATTTCTATGCTGAAAAATCTTTTATAATAGATTCACTTATGTCGGGATTTTAGCTGTGATGCGAAGCTAAAATTTTTACTATAATGTGTATTTTTTTTTGTTACCATTTTTTCTCAGCTCTCACCGAACCGATTTCTTTCAACGATACGTCAAAAGATCACAAATCGTATCTAATCAAAGACATTACCCTCAAAAATTAAAAAATTTCCCTCGTTCCTCGTAAATGGGGGAGACATCCAAAAAAATTACAAATTTAAAAATCGCTAATTTTCGAAATTTTTTTCTTAAAACTGTTATTACTTTTTCAAAAATGAACAAATCAATATAATTTTTTTTTATTGATGCTTGATGTCTTTACATATCATTTGGTATATTTTTTTTATAAATCTGACCTTTTACTTGCCCACAAGGTGGGATTTAAAATGACATCTTTTTCACAAAAAATTAACTTTTGAAAGTTTTCCAGAAGGTCTGACTCTTTTATATATATCTTGAATTAAAGCTAATGTAATATACTTTATCATAAAAAAAAAAATGTCGGACTTTATTTTGTTTTCTTGGTGAAAATGGCTAAAATAGCATTCGGTAAAATGCTATTTTGTGTGAAAATTCTCGATTTTATATTTTACATTTTTTACTTTAAAATGCTATAACTTATTGAAAAGTGTATGGATTAACACAATTTTTTTATAAGAAATAATATTTATATCCCTTTTTTATTCGACATACTTTATCTTAATCAGGATATTAATAAGGAAAAAGCACATCATGTAGCTTTTGAAATAATCCACGAATTTTTTTAAATTAAATACTATCTAAAGATACATTCTTATAAAATATTTTTTTTTTACATATAATACTTATTTTTTAATAATAAGTAATAATATTAAAACTTAGAAGTGATAAAAAACGTCTAATTGCACATTTGAAAACATGGCGAAAAGTTTATTTAGAAAAGTATATTTTTGTTTCTGATGAACGTTCCTTGTAGTTCAGTGTATAAAACTTATAAGTTTGTTATAAGTAACAAATATTTTTTATTGAAAAGTATTGCATCAAGCCCTTTAAATTTCTATATGCGTTAAAAGTGAAGAAATATACAACTACTATATTATTTTTATAATATCTTCATAAAAAGTACAATATTAAATTATTGAATATCAATTTCATACTAAATTTATTTATTATAATTATTATTTATTCATAGATTATAATTATAAACCAAATAACTAATTGGGGTTAAATTAAGGGAATAAGAGTTATTGTGGCTTTTAAAATAATCTACAAATTTCTTAAAATTGAACACTATATACTGATTTGCATCGAAGCGTTTTTTATGATAGTGATTTTAACCACTGTCAGATATCATTTATACTTGTACCAGCTATGCCATGTCCACAGTGTGTCGCAACCCCACTGTAATACTGTTTTTTTTTAATTAAAATTGTTGGTGTAATATTTTTTAAATGTTTTTTTTTCTTGGTTTCCTCCTTTAATTACAGACGATGTTTTATGCTTCATATATCATTAATTTTTTATATTAAGTGTTCTTTAATTTACTAAAATGATATCTATTTTTTTATTTTTTGTTTCGTCTTATTTCCTGTATTCTCCTTCAAAAATCATCTCTATTTTTAAGATAACGAGCAACGATTTTTAGTGAAATAATGCTAGAGAAAAATTGGTCCAATAAGAACTGAGAAAAAGTATTGACAAACACATAAAAAAAAAAACACATCATGGTAATATTAATACCTTCTCATCTTTGATGTGAAGCTAAAATCTACTTTGTTTCGTGTTCTATTATATAAAAACAACTATAGCTCCACTTATTTTTTTCCAATGAATCTAATTATATCTAATCTTATTACCGAGAAATTATATTTCTTCTTTTTGTCACGTGATTCTTTTAAGCAACATTTATACATAGCTCTTCGTCAATTATTCATTTGATTTACATTTTTAACGATATATTATAATTTTATTACTGTTACCATTTATTTAAACTATTTATTGTTATTTATTATTATTCGCCATACATATTTTTTTCTGTTTGTAATGGTACACTCAAGTTGACACAGTGTAACACTCACGTGTCGAGTACAATAAATAAGAATAGACAGTTTTAAGTTCACCGTAAAGGTGTTGGCCGTTTATACAACACAAAATTATTAATACTGATGACAATAAAACAGTACTGCAATAATAATAATAATAATGACAATAAAACCGACGCGACTTACGTCGCAAAAATGTGGTCGACACTGGTTTTGAGAGTAGAGACCCGTGGGCCGTTTACTAATGAGCAACAACAGGTTATTTTAACAAAAAAAAGTAAAACAAACCTAAATGATGAACACGATAATAATAATCTTCGCATAATATCGCGGCACTTTCGTTGACGTCGACGACGCGATATCGGTGTGCTCCTCGGGTGTCAAAAGGTTTGCAGCGTTGATGGCGACGGTGTGCGGGTGCGGATCGGTTGGTCGACGTTGACAACGGGAAAAAGACTGCCGTATCATTTGCGGCGGGTCGTCGTCGGCCGTGCGGCATTTGCTGGACTTTGCATCGTGGCGTATGGCGCGAGGTATTGGCCAGTCGAATACTCGTTGTAGGGCGACGGCTGATAAAGATGGCACGAGTTGCGGGGCATCGTGTATAACGATACCCTTACAAAATATAAAAGATCATATGTATAACTATAGCCTAGCAACTTGACAATGAACCAAACTTATCAGCTTCTTAATTTTGTATACATTTTGAGTTATTTTTATTGTAATCTTTACTATAAAAATGAAACATAAGAAATTTAATTGTAATTAATAAATTAATAATATTCTCATATATCAATTATTTATCATTTAGCTCTTAATTACAAATATTTTGTGAATTTTCAAATTTTATATTACTATGGCGAAATGATATACTATTCTCTTGTAAACAATTTTAACTATCTATATGAAACTAGTAGCTTAAAATTAATAAAAAAAATTTTATAAGAATTTTTTAATATGTGTACATTAGAGATAAACTATCCCTGGTTTTTTTTTTTTGAAAATGAGGTGAGCGTACTTATGAAGTACGCTTAATGAACGAGTATTGCAAAAAAGTCTACTCATTTTCAAAAAAGATATGACTTAAAATAGATAAACTCTAGTGAACAGATTTGTTAGTACATTGTTTAAATGTTAAAATTGAAAGCTATTATTAGATAGTTTTGAATTTTAAATAAAGATTCCAGCTTTATTTTCTAATTTAAATATTAATAATTTGTATTTTTAGATTATAATATAATTATAAAAAAAATAATAACATCGACAAAATCCAAAAAGTGTCGATAAGTTAAATTATATTGTTATCCATCACTAAAGTCAAGTTAAATTTGTATATTCTATTTAAACAACGATGAATAAAAAGCATTATATTATTTAAATTTTTAAATGATTTTTGGTCAATAAATTCACTGAAGTATTTAAAATATTTACAATTGATGTTTGTAAACTTTTAAATTGGATACATTTGATTTAATTCATTTTCACATATATTATAGTTATTGATTTTAAACATGTTTCAAGAAAAAATTAACATGAAGTGATTTGTCTTATTATTATTTTATTGAATTGAAAAATATGTTTTGCTGTTTATAGATGATAAGAATAATATTATTGATTTTTCCATAAGTCTTTGAATAAATTTTCTATTAAATTTTATTATTATTGTGCAATATGTACCCAATTTTCTTTTTGCTGTTATATGGATTTTTCTTATGATATTTTACGCCATTCGATTCTGTTTAAATAATTAATAATATTTTTATTTGTTTTTCTGTTCCTTTAAATTATTGAGATTTATAATAATTATCGCCATATTGACCATCTACTATTTTTCTTTTTCTTCAATTTTCCTTCAAAATTTTCATTTTTTACCATAATATAGTCATTATAAAAATCACCTTTTTTTGATAAAAGTCTTATAAAATTGTTTAAAAAACCATTAATACACGGAGTTATGGCTGACCTAAATCGAACTTCATCGAAAACACATAAAAATGTATGACTATCTTTTAAATAATCCCATAATGGTCCTTCCATTTTAAATATTGTATTGAATTCAATATCTTCATATTGCAAAAATATCTCTACTGAATTAAAAAAGTAGTTCCACGTAAGTGTTTTAATTACAGCTTCTGAAAAACAATTTTATCTTATTATTAAGTAACAAATCAACAAAAATTCTTAAGTTGAATATTTTTTGTTAGTAATTCAGCTAGTTTTTATAGACTTAGAAAAAGTTAAGTTGAAATCGTTATAAATAATGAAAGGGTTATTAATATTTTGACTTGTTAAAAGATTTACAAAAATGTTTTTACCCCTTCAAATAAAAAAACCCAGCACAGGGGGGTCGCGGCACAGTGGTGACGTGGCATAGTTGGATCAAGTATAATGATATCTGACAGTGATTAAAATCACTATCAAAAAAAAAAGCTTCGATGCAAATCTTTAGATAGTGTTTAATTTTAAAAAATTGGTGGATTATTCCAAAAGCTTCATAAACTGCTAGTTCCTTATTAATATCCTGATTAAGACAAAGTATGTAGAATAAAAAAGAGATTATTAGAAAATAGTATTTCCCATAAAAAAATTATATTGATCAATACACTTTTCAATAAGTTATAGCATTATAATGTTAAAAATGTAAAAAAAAAAATTGAGAATTTTCACACAATAATAGCATTTGGTAGCCATTTTCACCTTGAAGATAAAATAAAGTCCGAAATTTTTTTTTTCCATGATAAAGTATATTACATTAGCTTTAATTTAAGATATATATAAAAGTGTCAGACTTTCCGGAACACTTTCAAAATTTAAGTTGAAAAAGTCAATTTTTTGTGAAAAAGTTGTCATTTTGAATCCCCCCCTGTAGGCAGGTAAAAAGTCAGATTTATAAAAAAAATATACCAAATGATAGGTAAAGACATCATGCATCTACAAAAAAAAGAATTATATTGATCCATACATCTTTCGAGAAGTTATAGCATTATAAAGTTAAAAATATAAAAAAGAATTTTTTTACAAAAATCGTATTTTTTTTATTAAGTTTAATGTCTGTTTTCACCATGAAGATAAAATAAAGTCCGAAATTTTTTTTTACCATTATAAAGTATATTACATTAGCTTTAATTTAAGATATATATAAAAGTGTCAGACCTTCCGGAACACTTTCAAAAGTTACGTTGAAAAAGTTCTACTTTCTATATGCATTTTTATGTTTTGAATCCCCCCTGTATTTAGGGAAATGGTCCGATTTAAAAAAACAGTATGTCGAATGAAAGATCTATATAAATACTACTTCTCATAAAAAAATTGTAATGATTCATACATTTTTCAAAAAGTTATAGCATAATAAAGTTAAAAATGGAAAATACAAAATCGAAAATTTTCACACAAAAATAGCATTTGGTAGTCATTTTCACCATGAAGATAAGATAAAGTCCGAAATTTTTTTTTTTCATAATAAAGCATATTACATTAGCTTTAATTTAAGATATATATAAAAGTGTCAGACCTTCCGGAACATTTTCAAAATTTAAGTTAAAAAAATTAATTTTTTGTGAAAAAGTTGTCATTTTAAATCCCCCCTTGTGGGCAGGTTAAGGGTTAAATTTATGAAAAAAATATACCAANTAAAGTTGTCATTTTAAATCCCCCATTGTGGGCAGGTTATGGGTTAAATTTATGAAAAAAATATACCAAATGAAAGGTAATAATATTATGCATCTATATAAAAAAAAATGAAAAAGTTATGGCACTTTTAAGTAAAAAAAATTGAAAAAATTTCGAAAATTAGCGATTTTTAAATTTGTAATTTTTTTGGAGGTTTCCCCCATTTACGGGGAACGAGGGAATTTTTTTCAATTTTTAAGGGTAATGTCTTCGACTAGATACGATTTGTGATCTTTTGACGTATCATTGAAAGAAATCGGTTCGGTGAGAGCTGAGAAAAAGTGGTAACAGACACAAAAAAAAAAAAAAAAAAAAAATAAACACATCTTAGTAAAACCAATACCTTCTCAGCTTCGTATCGAAGCTAAAAAGTATTAAATACTTTTTTGGCTGGATGCTCGTATAATAAGCGTTATTGTGGAAAAAATTATTTATATTTTTTCGAACATTTTCCTAAATATTGTTAGAATGAAATGAAAAAATTAATCGAATAAATAGAATCAAAGTTTAATATTACAATACCATAACGAAATATAAATTTTAAGAGATTTCACAAGCATAAAATCTTTAACTTCCTCTAAATCTTTCGTAATTGTTAGATTATAAAGAATATTATTAATTAGTTTCTTGACATGGTCAATGAAATATTTTTAATTTATTTACGCTACCCATATTTATTTTATGATCGGCTGCTATTCTACGAAGACATTCCACGTACTCTATGGTACCTGATTGAATAGCCGTAACAAATTCATTATTTTCATCTACACAAGCGATAATTTTTGATACCTGAAATGTAAGTTAAAAATCAATAAACAATTTTATCTAGTATGTTTTCATATTAATAATAATAAGACATTCAGTTAAAATACTTTTACGGTAAGGAAGTGGTTAAATGTTATAATTCAATGACTTGTCATCACATCATAAAAATTTTCAACATTTTAAAGTCAAATTATGGTCATCACAGTTAATATAATTACAATTATAATAAAATAACATAGATTAAATTTTTAATAATTGTCAAGTCAATTTAGTTGTTCCTTAATTCAATACATGTTACTATATTATTTACAATACTGCATATTACAAATAATAACTATATAAAAACAGATATGTTTTTAAATAATGCCTACAAATTTAAACTGGCAAAAATCGATAATTATAAAAAAATATAGGAATTTGGTTTTACTAATTGGTGATTAGCTCAAAAATTACATGTTATATAAAACTTCTAATTAAACATTATTTTCTATAGTTATCAGTTAAATTTAGATGATTTTAATCATATATTTGCCATAATTTAGTCACTAGATAATACAATTTATATATAAATATAAATATGTATTAATGTTAATCAATTATTGATAAGTATTAAAAACTAAATCACTTTTTTATATCATTTTTACCTACATTTGCACAAATTTAGTAAATAATGTACTAAACTACTCTAAAACACAATGCCAATACTTTTAAAAAATAATTGATAAAATTGTTTGGTTTTTTTAATTTTCGATATTTTATTGGATCAATAAATACAAAATAATTTCTTAATTATAACTTATGCAATATCATTAAAAATATAAAACATAACATATTTTTTTCTTTTCATAAATAATACTATCTATAATTTTCATAAAAACAAATTGGTCATATCCTCTCTCTTTTTTTTTAAAAATTTTATCAGCTATACTTTTTTAAATGAAAACATCTATGTTCAACCAACTTTAAAAATATGAAATGATCTATCTATTTAAATAAGTGGCTCATAACAATTTTTGAACTGTGATTTATTTGAAAGTTATTAACACTTTACTACAATGACTAAATGTGAAGCGCAAAATTATTTTTTTTTATTTCTTTTGACTATTATATTACAATAAATTAGCATGTTTATACTTGGAAGAGAAAAATAATGCGGTTCGTAAATGCCTATGAAAAAAAAGTAATCTAGTAATAATATGTACTTTGTGTATTTTAAAATTATCATACTGGTATATATCAATTCGTGGTTCATTTTTGTCAGTGTAAAAGCAAATATGGTGTTTAAATTTACTTTCTGTAAGCATTACAAGCTTAATTTCAAGTAGCTGAAAAGGTACTATAAAAATTTGTGAACTTTTAGCTTTAATAACTTTTAAATATTTCTATAATAGTTCAAAAATTATTGACAAGAGTCAAGTAATTTTAAAATAGGTTATTTAATTTTACAGGATAATTCTAAAAGTATTTATAGTGTTTTAATTTTTACAATAAAAATGGGAAGGTTTGACGTCAATTTAAATTAATAATAAAGATTTGTTAAAGTTGGTAATCGACAAAAATTAATAACTATATTAAATGTACATATAGAGTTTTCAGTAAGTAAGGAAATTAGTGTATATTGTTCTCATTGTTTATAACAATTGACATATTTCCTTACTTACTGAACACTATATAAATGATCATAGTTGTATAAATAATATGGATGAGTTGCTAGATACTTCATTGCTAACAAATACTGGCGTCACATTTTTATTAAATATCTACAGACTGTAAAATACTTTTTAAAATATTGTTATCAACCAATCAAAATTTCGAGTAACACGCAGAATCACACATACAAGTTTTATAGTAGACTATCTGGCGAATAGGGCCTAAGTGCTGCTAACCCACTTTATCTTTGCCGCCAAATAAGTAACATTTGAATTCGCGTTTGGTACGAATAGGCCCTAAAATTATTTAAATCGAGGAGATGTTTTATTGCTGATACAAATGTGACCCAGGATTCCCTAGATCAGCTCCGGCTACGAAAATGGAGAAAATAAACTTAAAAGCCTGTCTCACTTAATGAATACCTACCAATCGACCGAAAACCAAGGGTCATGTGAAAACAATAAATAGGCTAAAATCTGAAGTTAATCCGATAAAAACCTACAACAACAAAACTTGGCCTCGCTATGACTTGACACTTGCCAATAAAAATTCTATATCAGTAACCATATATTGGCATTAGCAAAATATTTAAAATTTGCACTACTAGTGTAATAAATAAAAAAAATGTTAACCATAAAAAAAATCTTACTATAATATAACAATTACAGCAACCTATTTGTTTTAATGTATATTTTCATGGTATCTATTTGAAATCAATTTAATAATAAAAAGAACATGAATTATAAAAAAATTATTAATCTAACATGCGTTAATATAGTTATAACAATTAATCAACAAAAAGGCGCATATGAATAAGTAATAAAATTTGATTTTACAAATTAAATTCTCATAATTAGAAAACTAACTCATTTACATGCTTTTAATTTATATTTAACTAATATATGTTTAGAGAAACTTAAATATATCTACCTTCAAATTTTAAAATACCAAAAATAATTATTTAAATTTTTTAATTATTTTCTTTAAAATTATAGAAACAAAATAGAAAAATGTATAAGATTTTGATGTATAAATACAATTAATTATACAATTGATAAAAAATTATACTTACAAGTATCACTAAAAATACTACTATTATCATCTTTACTGAGATTATTAATTTTCAAAAATTATGATTTTAAAGATCTATAAAATCATTATAATATGTTCAAAAATATACTACGCTTTATATATGTTCTTAAAAGAGGAATAATTAAATTAATAAAAATTAAATGATAAAAGTAATTAAAATATTTTTTTCAGTTGTATACACAACTAGTATTACGCAATATAATTACGAGGGTGTAAAAACAAAATTTATTTTATTATTGACATCACTGTTTTCAATAATATATTTGTATAAAATATAATCATCTCATTGTTTAACTACTGTAGATCCTATAAATATGTATATTATTAATAATGGGCTAAGTGTTATTTGTTTACAGAATAATTCTTAAGACTATTAATTTAATTGTGTAATTTACTTAAATGTTAATATATTTGTATAACCTAGAATATTATTTATTTGATTGGTGTACGTATAAAAAAAATATTTTTGTTATTAACAAAAAAATATATTTTAATAAACAAGAAGTTTTAATAAATAACTAAAAATGAATAATTAGTTAGGATTATTGTTTAATTAAATATAGTATGTACATGTATAATAGAATGTATATCTAAAATAAGGTTTTCAGGCTTAAATTTTTTTTTGTAATTACTTGAGTTTTATATTAAGGTGGAAATAATACCATTTTTAATAATTTAAAATGGTTTTTAATATTTAACCTTTATAAGTTTAATTACATCTGAAAATTTTATTTTATAATATAAAATGAAAGAATAACGCTTTACTTGGAAAATTACTTGACATAATCCAATTTGCACAATTTTCCTTTAATGATAATAACCAAAAAGTTATCTATATTAGATATAGATATTCGAAGATAAAGTCATTTAAAAATAAAGATATTTGGTTGTTATCTTTTCTTTAGTTATGACGAGATAAATTTCTGTTTTTCCTTCATTAATGATTTTTTAAATTTTTTTCTTCTCTCTATCATGCTAAATAAGTCTCTATTTTGCTATCGGCAATATAGAAAAATATTTCACTCTCAATTTACTTTACTAAAACACTTTGTAATCTTAACTGTTCTACAAAAGTTATAAACAAAATTAGCAAATAATACACACTATTAAAATTATATTATTTATTAAGCCAGATTAATAAACATAGCTATAATACTATCTTATTAATAGAGCTAGACAAGTCGGTAACACGCCATGCATCAGTCCATAGGTAACTGGGATTCTGATCTATTGCGCTGGACTATGTAGTTTTCCCCGTTCTCTTTAACATAACCATTGCTTTGCAGTTGTTGAAGAAAAATTGATTTTACATTTTATTCTTTATAATATCTCAAAAGATATTTTGTTAATCATAGTTAAGCAATCACTCTGTATATTTTTTGTATTGCAGAGCATAAATAATTCAATTTTTATTATTTTTTTTTTTTTATAGTAATCGAATTTGTTATTTAAAAGCTTATATAATGGAATTTTCTTTTTTTGATATAAAATTTGTTCATAGATAATTGTAAGAGTATAAAATTAAAAAGAAAAAAGTGGACAAAAATAGAAAAATGGTCGTATATTATTATGTTATAATAAGTCATTTATGTTGAAATAATACTATTGTTATTTTACAGAAGTATCCTGTCTTGTTAGATTTCTGTTTGTATTTTTTCGCTGGTAATAATCATTTTTAATTATATTTTTTAAATTAAAAAATAAACTATTAAATATTATTGTAATATTTGTATATTTGTATACTTATATATACATTTATGCTTATGAATATATATATATATATATACGTTTTTTTATGTATGCGTTTTTCAAGTATATGGTATCCCAAGCAATAGCAAAAATAATAAAGGTAAGTTAAAACTATTAACTTTTTATTTTAATAGAAATTAATTTGGAATTTATGGAAAATTTATCATTTTTATAAAATATATCATCATTAAATTACATTTGTATAATTTGTAATTTATGAATACTAATGAATTGTTGAATTTTTCTTTTATAAAAAAAAAAATTAAAATTTTTACTTTACAATTTATTTTTACATGTGACATTTTACATATTTTTACTTGTTTATTTACGGACAATATTAAATAGTCGTGTTACGAATTCTATTTTCGATGTGACGGCCTTACATTTCTTATGGGACACTTTTTTAACAAAACATATTTTATTTTACCTAAGAAGCTTTTAAAGAAGAAAATATTATCTATTTTTAACATAAATTTCAATAAGCTATTATTGTCCCAAAATTTACAAATAATTTTTCGAACTACTGTTGTGATGTATGATTGTATATTGACGTTATTACGATGGTCATTTATAATTTTTATCTTTCTAAGTTTCTACATTAGATAAATGTTTATTTATCAATTGTACTAATATATCAGTTTGCTTAATTATGAAAATTACATGTTGATTTATGTAGAAATATTTTTATGGAAGGGAAAAATTAAGTTAGATGCCAAATTAATTTATTTAAACACACGTAGGAAGATATACAAAAGTTATTTATTTAAAGTTTTAACGGGTCAAAGAACCCTTTAGGAAAATACATTTCACAGTGCAGCTATAACACTAGAACATGACACAGTAGTGGCACTGTCACCCGAAGACACCCCGCGATCGTGCCAGCTCCTTCTCAGCTACCGCTATTCAGTAAAGCGAACCGTTACACACACGCGTTATCGTCGTGGGGTAAAAGTCCAACAAATGCCTAGCTTCGAATACCTGCCGTCATAACGCGTTAGTTAGCCATCTCTGTAAAGCCGCCACGTATTTTGGGCGCACATCGTTTCTGCCAAACCGATAGCTTATACCTGTCTATAAATAGAAGCTTGAGAACCACTGGTTAAAATATTTGCCAAAATAACTAGTGATGGGAAGTATCGAATAGTAACTATCGAACTATTCGATAGTCATTCAAAAATTATTGTAATAGTGAAAATATTTAATAGTTACACAATATATTCGAATAGTTTTTAAACTATTCAATAGTTTATTCAAATAGTTTTTAAAATATTTAATAGTTTATGCTAAAAATAAAATATTCGGTGGTATAAACACTATTCGAGTAGTTAATCATGCAATGTCTCCACTATGCCGCGACCCCACTGTGCTACCGTTTTTATTACAAATAAATATATACATACTTAAGATATATCATATCTTATATATCTATTATAATTTATTTACCTTAGATAAAACGTCATATTTTCATTATATAGTTATGCCTATGTAATAAAATAAGTAATTATTCAAAACGTGACCATATTTAGGGGTGGTTAAAGGGGGGTAAATATTCTTGGGGGCGAATGTCAATTAATAGTGATGGGACAAAAATTACTTTTCTCAATAATATTAATACCCAACGCAAAAATCTTAAATACAGTTCTGAACGTAACATTCAATTAGAGCCAAACAATTTGGTACTGTCAGCTACCTAACCTGGCCGTATGTTAAAACCGATACTGGATCGTCATGGTGAACCATAGATAAAACTAAATGGTTCTCAAATTTTTTAGTAGATAGACAGGTAGAAGATTAGTTTGGCGGAACTTATGCGAAATAGACACAAGTGTTACCGATTCGGTAACTGTTCGTCGCACGATAAAATTAGCAATTTAATCTAAGTCAAATTTAAAAGTTACTTTTTAGAAAAAGCAAAAAAATTTAAATAAGTTTAATTTTTTATGTCTTATGAACTTTGTTCTATGTCAATTAAATTATATAATATTCATAAATGTCAGTGTATTCCACTAATAAGATATTTTAAAATAAAATAAAATACAAAACCCAGAATTTTAATACAAAAATAGCATATTTTTGAATACGGTAGCCATTTGCGCATAGAAGATAGGTCGTCGGGACAAATTTTTTTTTTCATTTTATAGTACATAAAATAAGCTTTAATTTGACATATGTTTAAAGAACGCAGTATTTCCGGAACATTTTCAAAAGTTAAGTTGAAAAAGTTAGTTTTTGTAAAAAAGTTGCTATTTTAAATCCTCCCTGTTAGTAGAATAAGTGTTAGATTTTCAAAAAAAAATGATATCAAATAAAAGGAAAATATCTAAGGTTTTAGTATAAAAAAAAAATATGGTGATTTGTTGATTTTTGATAAAGTTATGGAAGTTTTAAAAAAAAAAAAGTGAAAAAAATGACAAAATTTACCGATTTTTAAATTTGTAATTTTTTTGGAGATTTCCCCCATTTGCGGGAAATTAATTAAAAATTTTCAATTTTCAATGTCTTCAACTAGATACAATTTGTGATCTTTTGGCGTATTGTTGAAAGAAATCGGTCCAGTGAGAGCTGAGAAAAGTGGCAACAGACATAAAAAAAAAAAACACATCATGGTAAAATTAATACCTTCTCAACTTCGCATTGAAGCTAAAAATTGGTTTAAATTAATACTGATTTTGATTATTCATATGTTAAAAATAAGGATAATGACATATTTAACCTATTTTTTTAAGTCTTTAAAGTTAATTTTTGTGAAAGTTAATAGAAAAAAAAAATTTATTTATAACTTTTAGCTCAATTTGCAAGTTTGATATTGACATCATTAAATATAAAATTTTATGCGAATTAAAAAAATTGTATCGTTAAGATTAATATGCAGTCAGGAAGTTTTGTAATAACTATTTATAGTAAATTTATCAGAAAAGCTCAATATTTTTTTGCATTTTTATCGTAATAGATAACTTAAATAGAAGTAATAGTAATCATTTCCTAATAACATTTGGTGTTTAAAAAGATTCTCCGATTGAAATATTCAGAACTTAATTAATTTTAATGATATACTTTAACTAAATGAACCAATCAAAACAAAGTTGTTAAAAAGATTCACTCAATTGAGCGTATTATAAAATTTTATTATAATTGTAAAAATCCATTGTTAATTCAGGAGAAACTAACAATCATTTTTTTTGAAAATAATTTATATACAACTTGTTACCAACAAATTTGGAATGTTATAGTCTAGTAGTAGCACACACAAATAGAGTAAAAAAAAAACCCAGCACAGTGGTGACGTGACATATTTAAAAAACATATTTAAAAAGAACTCTAGGGTTCTTAATTAGGAATACCAAAGAATTCAAGAACAAACAATGTCTAAAAATGTTGTATACTTCTTTAGTTAGACCTACGTTGGAATATTGCTCAATTATTTGAAATCCTTCACAAGTCGGATTGATAGAATCGCTTGAGCATGTACAAAGAAGATTTTTACGTTTAATCGCATATAAGAGACGTATGATTTCTATTAATAACCCTTCCGAGTCAATATCACTTAATTCTGTACAGGCTTCCCTTAACTTAGATTCCCTTTTTAATAGGCAAAAATATACAGACGTCTGCTTTCTTTCTAAATTAGTAAATGGTGTTATATTCTGTCCAGAACTATTACAATCCATAAACTTCCATGTTCCTAAATTTAATTCACGTTCTTGTCCCACATTTGAATTCCTTTTCATCGAACACCTTACGGTTTCAATAACCCTGTTGATCGAATAACCAGAGAATGCAATAAATTAAAATTTGATTTGTTTATTATGAATGATTTGTATTCCTTAAAACACTGATTTTAGTAGCCTGATGCATATCATTAAATCACCTTTTTTTTTTGTAAATTTATTTTAATATTATGTACTCAATTAATACTATTATTGTAACATACTTGTATCTTATTTCAACAATGTTTTATTGTCACTGTACTTGAGTCCACCTAGGCGTTTACACCAAATAAATAAATAAATAAAAACAAATATCGCATTTAATGAAAAAATTGAATTCGTCGAAACCAATATTACATTTAAAACAAATATCACTATTAACTTCCGATTAGAAAATTAAGTTAGGCTAGAATGAAAAGATAAAATTATAGCACACAACCACACTATACAAAAGCTACAACTCAACTGAAGTTATCAATATTTTTTACACGAAAATTATTCTACCACACCTTGCTTAGAATATGTATATTAAAATGATAGAGACAATAAATATCTCATTAGTTTTCCCCATCATATATTCATAATGCAACTATGAATATAAATTTTCTTAGGATATACAATATAATATTTTTCAATAGACCTTCTCGGGTAAACTTGAAGTGATACTTCATTATCAAGTTATACTTCAGCTACTGGTGTTTCATTAGAATATTTCTATTCTCAAAACTTTAAAAGATATTTTTACTTTAATATTACATACACATCTTTTTTGTTTACGTTTAATGGTTTAACCATTCTTTAGTTATCATATTCATCTAAAAAAATAAAAACAGCACAGTGAGGACGTGGCATAGTTAAGACCAGTATAGATTTAATCTGACAGTGATTAAAATCACTATCATAAAGAACAAATCAGTAGATATTATAGAATTTTAAAAAATTGGTGGATTATTCTAAAAGCAATATGATCTCTTATTTCCTTATTTATATCCTGATTATAAGTTTTATGATTTATAAATGTAATATATGAATAAATATTTATTTAACGATTAAATATAGTATAAAATGGATATTTTATAATTTAGTATTGTAATTTTTACGAAGAATTTATAAAAAATTATAAAGCAGTTATTACTGTTATGGTAAATGTATTTAATAGTTAGAGGTCTTGATGCAATACTTAAAAAAAAAAGTTGTTTGTTATTTATAAATAAATTTACTGGTCTAGAAGGAATTTTCATGCGAGACCAAAATATAGTTTTCTAAACCCATTTTTGTGCCGAATTCAAATATACAATTTGAGTTTCGCATATGACTTATATAATAACAAATAATAACAAATCTTTCTAATTAATATAACAAATATTTGTGTTTGATTATTAGGTTACGTATGAATAATCAATAAATACATTAAATAAATACATACAAGTTAAAAGAGTTCTTTTTTCAATATGAATTTTAAATATTGAACACCCCCAGTATAAAAGAAAATAATCCGATATAAAAAAAAAGTATTTACGGGGAAAGAGAGAAATTTTTTCAATTATTGAGGGTAATGTCTTCGTTTAGATACGATTTGTGATCTTTTGATGTTACGTTGAAAGAAATCGATTCGATGAGTGCTGAAAAAAAGTGGTAACGGACACAAAAATAAAAAAAAAACACATCATAGTAAAATTAATACTTTCTTAGCTTCGCATCGAAGCTTACATAATTTTTGTAAAAACATAAATTATGTTTTTAATCTTATTATACAATAGAACAAGGAAAAAAACGCTTTTTGGGAAAATTACTTAGCGTGCTCGGATTTTCAAAATTTTTTTTTTCAACGAAAGTACTCGGTCACCAAAATCGGGGAAAATTATTGGCGAAGGTCGAAAAATTTTTGCCGCTCGCTCGCGCCAAAAATCGGAAAATCCGAGATCCGACAAAAACTCTGGCCGCTACGAGCGTTTGAAATTCATCAAATTTTAACGGAATTTTTTTTTTTTTTAAGTCCACGCGCACTGTTTTAATGTGCGCATTGATTCATTTCTGCTCATACGTTTATTATGAACCTTAATTATATGGTGTAATATGTATTATTATTAGGACACTATTTTGCATTTGCACTATATTTTATCAAGGAATATTATATGTTATATATAAATTTCAAGACGTTATAATTATATAAGTTTTTACTTTCATTATCAGAACAGCACATTATTAATAATCTTTTTTTTCTCATATATGATTTATTTATCATCAACTATACTGTTCAACGTTAAATCGCAATTACCAATATTTTTATCAAAATTAAATTTTTTACAATGTGCCATATATAATAACCTACTAAATTTTTTTTTAATTATTCTATAATATAAACACAATTATTATAATTAGATTATTAATAATTTTTGTGTATTTATGTATGTAGGGATGTATTTAAGAGATATATGGGCCCCCCTTGAACCAGTGCTATCAATATTTTTAGGCAACTTCTAATATATAAGGATCTAATGTCCTTTTTTTTCATCATTACTTTAATTTTAGCAAAAAAATTTCTATAACATGTTTAGCAAAGTAAAAAATATTAAATACTCTCCTAAAATAATTTTTGAATAAGCCTAAAGGGAATACCTCATTAAGAAACATCAACCTTATACCCAATACATTTTACTATATTCTCTTTTTGAATTTTCCTGATTTTAATAATAACATTTTTATATATACTTTATTGCACTGATTCTGATGTAATATTTTTTCTGAAAAACACTTATCGTGCCCGGCGTAGCCGGGTACTCCTACCGGAATAAGTGGCCTACTTATTATGACGGCCCGAAGAGGCTTACGCGCCGAAGGGATCCGGGTCTGGGGCGGAGCCTAGTGATGTATAATGTATTAAAAAATTCCTTTTCAATTGACGATTGTCTTTCAAATATAATCGATAATAATTTTATATAATTCCTACACTATTCAATTAAAATAATAAAACTTCATTAACGATAAACTTTCAACGTACAGTAAACTGGTAAAATAAATATGATGAGATTAATAGATAATATTATTTTTTATACACAATCAATAGTATACATATATCTTATAAGTAGCATAGAGTGTGGAGGTGTTATCTAAAAGGAGATTACGATTAAGAATTCTTACTATTAAATGACATTTTATTTATAAAATGAGAAGATTCCTTAATAAACATTGTATGCCTATAAATCTCCTTATCTATTATTGATAAGGTGCAATGATTGAGAAGACAATAGGTTACTAATAAGGTGACTTATATAAACATATTATAAACATATTTTTTTACTTTTGTATATTACAAGGAAAAAGTGTTTTATATGATTGCGCAAATGATGAAGGTAAGTAAAAACTAAAATTTAGTTCATTTAATGATCTTTTTGTTTGAATAAAAATTAATTTGGAGTTTAATGAAATTTATTATATAGCATCCAAGTGATATTTTTGGCTAAATGAGGCAAATTATGTTGCTAAATTATCTGAAAATTAAAATGAAAAAACGATTTTTTCTATTCCACATGTTGGAATAAAAAAATGTTTTTATAAAATATAATTTTTGATCAAATAATAAATTACAATATTTTTTCAGGTAAATGCGTTGTCTGTACAACAAAAGAACCAAATGAATCTATAGGATTATGTGAACGTATATTTTGCAAAGATTGTATAAGCAAAATAAAAAAAAATAAGAAATTTTACAATTGTCCTTTTTGCAACCAAGAGTACACTAACTTAGAAGTAGAAAAAGGTAAATTAATAATTTTTGGAAAGATAAAATTTTAATTTCTTTTCAACATAAGACCCTCAAATTAATGTTATTTACGGTTAATTTTTTTCGTAAAACATTTAAATAGATTATAATGTAACTTTGGGACAATGTAGCCTAGTCGGTAACGCGACAGTGCTTGACGCGCACTGTCTCGGGTTCGAAACTCGGTCACGGGCGGCTTTGTTTGCCGAACGAGAGATCAGTTCGGTAATTCTGCCGTGCTAAGTGAAAAAAGGATAACTCCAGTCAACATGATTTTTCAGGAACGCAAAAAAACATTTTTAACAGTAAATCAAGATACCCTTTTTCCCCAATGTATGAACATAAGTCAAAAGACGGTAACTCCATTATTTTTTATGTGATATACCAAGTTTTTGTTTAGTATTTGGATTTACCGTGTTTTCGCTTACAAAACATCAAATATATTGAACTTACCGTATATTTTCTTATTTTATATTTCAATTTTAGATGGGTTTTAATAGGAATTATGCTATTTTTACATAAAAAATTGGCGTAAAACCACTAAATTTACCTATAGAAACAAAAAATAAATTTTTTTTAATTTTGGAGTAATCCTGTTTTTGCTTAGCACGGCAGAATTGGAGTCGCCATCTCTCTATCCGACTTCGAACTAACCACCCGTCCCGGAGTATCAATGGTTTAGAAACTTCCTCTTTTGGGGGAGGCCGCTATGGCCCTTAATGGGCTTATAAAGTGTTAAAGAAAATAATAATAATATAAATTTAAATTTGATTTAAATTATTCAAAAATTAAACGCAATAATTTTTTTTTTGATTTTTATATTGCTAAAATATAAAATGTCAAAAATTTGTATACATGCATTCATAATACACAAAAGAATATTGTACTAAATAACTACAATTTTTAATGATAATAAGTGATACGGATTAGTATTTAATGTATATTGTAGATCGATTTAATTTAAAGAGATTGTTCAATGTTCAATGTTGAAGTTTATATCATTAAATTTACTTACATGCGGCATGATTTTGTTATCTAAGCTAATCAAAACTAATAAAATTAAAAAACTATTAAAAATTCATTGTATGATTTTGTTTTTCATTTAACGCTATAACAATCTTCTTTTTCCTCGCCTTAATTCCAACTAAATAGGGTCGGCTAATTTTACGATATAACAATAATTAATTAATTATATTTCAAGATAAATTATATTTTTATATTATAAGAATATTAATAATTCAGTTCCAGATGAAATTCCTCCAATCCGTAAGTATCAGTATTATACACTGTATATATAATTGTCACGAAATGTTTACTTATGTTTTAAATTCAAAAAATGGTATTCCCAAACTTTAGTACCTAATCAAAATATTTTCGTTAAAATTAAACAAAGCAATATATTTTACTTGAATATATATAATTGAATTTTTGATGTCACACTTTCCTGCTAAATAGTTAAAACAGGAAAGTGAATCATATAATGAATATAATACTAATATTAGTAATTTAAAGTCTTATTACTTGAAATTGATCTAGCTTAAATCATAAACGAAGGTCCTCTGAGAAAATGACTGGTTGAAGTTATGGCAATTTTTACTAATATTTTTTTAGTTTTACCTTAAAAATTGCATCCAATATTTAACTTGGTACTTGTTTTAAATTCGGTCATATGTTCTATATTTATAATAGAATTAAAATGTACTAATTTATTACTCTTGTACGTTTTACTCATTATCATAAAAAGTCCAAAGAAAACATCAAAGGCTACTATTCTGTACATAAAATATTAAAAAATAACATATTTATATTTTAATATGTATTGTCTTGCGTTAATGAAAAAATATTGTATTTTTTAGGTACAATCAATATCACTGATAATCAAAGTGAGTAAAATAATACATCTTTATGTTCTATAAAGCGTATGTATAATAGATAAATATTTTATCAAAGGTACAAAATAGACCACTAAAATGAAAAAAATATGAAAATTTGGTATAGAATACCCCAAATAACGATATTTAATAGATAGAGGCCCCCCTCAATTGTCTATAGAATAGAGAATATTTTGTAAAAAATATACGTTTTGAAAATATTTATTTTTCATTTAAAATACTTTTTAAATAACTTATATTAATTTTGAAATTATTACACAAAAGTCATATTTTTTCTTTAAAGTTTACTACCACTTAAATATAGAAAATAAGTCCTGAGAGCACATTTTTTTTTCAACATGAAGTATATTAATTAAATTTTATTTAAGCTATGATTAAAGATGACACAATTTCCATAACATTTTCAAAATCAAAAAAATTAATATGCACAAATTACCATACAAAATTCTAGTTTAGACTTGTAAAGGTCATAACATTTATATATTGTCATAAATATCCAATATTGACCATTGTTTGGACATGGGATTTTTTAAAAAATTACGTATTTACGTGTAATGTAAATTTTATTTATTTTAGTACTCATCGAAGCATTTTATGGAACAAGTAAAAATAATTTTAGTAATTTATATTGGCTTAATATTACTAAAAATGTTTTATTTTAACTTATTTATTCATAAAATATAACTGCAGTCGTATAATAGATTACTCTGAAATTTGTACACAAATATTGAGATAATCTAGATGCAATCGAATTATTATGCAATAGAAAGGATAAAATATCTTCATGATAAATATCATCATGGAAGCTGAGCACATTTATCTCAAAGCTGTCTTATTAGTATTACTATATCCAGATATTATTAAGGACTATTAGATATGCATAAATGCCTTTCATCTAATTATGCCCATTTCAAATATTTCATGTGTTGTTGTCAAATATAATTTTAATTAGCTACCTTTACGTTTTGTATTAAAAAACCAGTATAAAAGTATTTTGTGTTGTCTACAATATAAGCTCAAGATATCCAGCAACATAGTTAAAGATAAATATGGCAAAGTTTTGTAATATATAATTCAATAATTACGAATGAACGCAGCGTACGGTGGTACTCACGCGGGTTCGTTAATGTTCTTTTTTTTTGTCTTAAGTCAGGCTTAGTCGAGGAAAAAAAATAAGGTGAGTAGACTGTATGAATGAATGTAGAAAGAATGTTCAAAACATATAACAATTAAATGTATTATACATGAATCATAAAATCCATACACCAATGTAGATAGGGGGGACCCTTAGTACTAATGCCACAAAGGCCCTGATATAAACAAATAGTTAATTATAAAAGTGAATAAACCTTAGAAAGATAGATGAACAAGCATTATACTTATCGGCAAGTAGAAACGGCGGATAATAATGTTGAATATTGAAAGGATCAATTGAAGTAGATGCAAGTAGCTGACCAACGAGTACAATATGCTGTGCGGTACTGTGATGTATCTAATTGTCATGTATTAATAATATTACTTAATTATAGATTTAAAAATTGTAAATTCACAAACTGTGAATTAACTGTGATTTTAAAATTAAGTAAAATTTTATTCAACGTTCACACGCTATACAAGTTTTTCATTAAAATTGTAATATATTTAAATTTTTTACATTTATTATCATAACTCATGAAAACTTTAAAGAATGCACTAGAGGCTTCTTTTTATAACATCAAATATTAAATTAAATGAAAATAATAAATTTAAGTTTCATGATTATTTGTACATCTTACAAATTATTTTTTTAAATTTCACTGAGATATTAGATGCTTGTTAAATTATACAGAACAACAAATAACAAAAAAATTTGATTGTTCACAAATTTTAAATTAATTCTAAATGGAAGTTAGTCGCTAATTCCTAATCTGGCTTCATAATTTTTATATCTCATCTAGTATTTGAGATAATTACTAATTAGTAGTTAAGTGATAATTAAACAATAAAGTTATCATAAAAAAAAAATGTATTTTTTTTTAATTTTCATAAAATGATTTCATGATGTTTAGTATAAGTTATACACAATTTGACTGTTTAAAGTTTGAGAGTTATTTGGGTTATAATTTGTGATGGGCATTTTCGAATATTTTAAACTATCGAATAGTATTCGATAGATTTTCAAAACTATCGAATAACTATTCGAATTGTTTTTATACAACCGAATAGTTTTTAAAACTATTCGAATATATTGTGTAACTATCGAATATTTTTACTATTCGAATATTTTCCATCACTAGTTATAATAGTTATAATAGGTATTGATATAAACAAACAATAAATTATAAAGTAAGATTATAATTATAAGAGTAAGTTTTAGAAAGAAGATNACTATTCGATATTTTCCATCACTAGTTATAATAGGTATTGATATAAACAAACAATAAATTATAAAGTAAGATTATAATTATAAGAGTAAGTTTTAGAAAGAAGATGAACAAGCAATAAACAATGTATAAAATATGTCATATCGGCTAATTGAAACGGCTGATGATTATGTTGAATACTGAAAGGATCAATTAAAGTCGAATGCAAGTAGCTGACCAACGTGTACAATATGCTGTGAACGGTACTGTGATGTATCTTAGAAAATATATAGACATAATCATAGACAAGTATCATACACAATGGCGACTTACTGAGCACACAAGAGTGCGACAATCGCAAAGGTGATATTTTACTTTTACAACAAAACGAATACAAAACTACTGGTCGCAATCGCCATAGAGCCTAAAACTAAGATGGCGACGACAATGCAGACATAAAGAGAAGACCGACAACAACTCTATGTAGCACAACAATAGTATAAATAATCACAACACAATTTTGCGATAACATATTATGTGTATCTAACAAATTATATATTTTACATAAAAAATTTTGTTTTTGTATATTAATTTAAATTATTGTTGTTTACTATAATTTTAATTAGCTACCGTTTCGTTTTATATTAAAAAATCAGCATAAAAATAATTTGAGTTGTCTGATAGTTGAAGAATAGGAAACTCAATCCAGATAGTAAAGTCAAAATTATATTATTTTATATGTATTGTAATTGATTTTGTAAAAGACATTTTGTGACAAGATTATTTTCAACCACTTTTTAATATTCTTAAGTAATATTTAAAAAAAATAATGTAGAACTATTTATTCTTCTTCTTTTTCTTTTTCTTTTCTTTATACATACAATTGTCAAAAATTATTTTTATATAAAATGTTAATATTTTATATCTCATATTATCCTATTATTGTTAAAATATNAAAATTATTTTTATATAAAATGTTAATATTTTATATCTCATATTATCCTATTATTGTTAAAATATTATATTCTTAATTTTATTATTCAAACATTCTGTTAACATTATTACAATAATTAATTAATTATATTTTATGCTAATTTATATTATTTATAATAAGATTATTATTATTTCAGCAACAAATGAAAGTCCTTCAAACCGTAAGTTTTAGTATTATATATGTACATATAGAATGATACTTTTAACGCTAGACACTCAATTTTTCTTAAAATATAAAGTTTTTTGAAAAACATTTTTTTGGATTTTGTAAGTTACATATCTCATCTACTAAGCAACAATATAGACATACATAAAATTAAATTTAATAACCATATTATAAATCCAAAACATCCAGCAACATAATTAAATATATACATGGAAAAATTCTGTTATATATAATTCAATAATTGTATATTTTATATAAAAACTTTTGTTTTTGAATATTAATTTTAATTGTTATTGTCTACTATAATTTTAATTAGCTACCTTGACGTTTTGAATTAAAAAACTAGTATAAAAATATTTTCTGTTGTCTGATTAGGTGCAGAATAAGAAACACAGTCCATATAGCAATGTCGAAATTATATCATTTTATATGTATTCTATCCTGGTTTTGTAAATAAACATTTGTGAAATAAGATTATTTTCAACCACTTTTTAATATTTCCATTGAAATATTTTTAAAAAATTATAAATAATTACTAATTTATCTTCTTTTTTTCCTCTCCTTTATCTCAACTATTTGGGTTCGGCTCAATGGATGTTTAGGATAAAGGTTATCCTTAACATCTAATTGATACGATCACCCACTTCATTTCAAGTGCATGTCAAGTAATAATGCATAATTATTAATTCAATAATTATATATAAATAATTCTATAATAACGTCAAGAAAATTTTAAACAGGAATTTTATTAAAATATTACATTTAAAAGACTTAAGATATAATAATTGTAAAATTATGTATAATCATCAATAAACATTATTAAATTATTTTGATAAATATTTTATTTTATACATTTACTAGCTGAATAACCCGGTTTGATCATCTATTTATAACTTAGGCATCTTCGACCATTAGTTACATTTTATAGTTAGTATTACTATCTACATTTTAAATTTTATAGTACCAAAATTTTAAATTATACATTATACTTCTTCATCCAGCTTGGTCTCTTTGCTGAATTGTAGTAGTATTATGAATGCCTTTAATATGTGAAGATTGTCAAAAATCTTATATTTGAGGCGATGGTTTTTATAATTAATTCATTCAATAAAAATGTTTTACTGTGATTGTAGTTCCACATGATTCACATATTGGAACCTTTTTTCCTCCCATTAAGTACTGCATCTTATGAACTTCAAGATTTTTTAGTTAGTCTATCTAATTCTGTATTAATATTATATTTACTATACCAAGGTGCGTTAGAATTATATTTTCTGTTAACTATTCTTTTTAATTTAATAAAGTATTTGCCCATAACTATTTTTTGTTCGTTACTTAGTTTAATTGCCGTTCTATTGTTTCTGACTATTTTTACTGAGTATTCATTTCTATTTCTGCTCTTTTGATATTAGTCTTACTAACATATTGATTTAATATTGATTTAACATCAAACAAAGAGAAACATATAGCAATGCTTAATTTTTTATAATTAATTATTAATTCCATTCCATTTATATAAATTAAAATGTATAATATTTTATTTTACTATTGTCAAAAGCGAAATTTGTAAATAACTATAAGTCAATGGATAGAGGGTGTATTCAGTTTTTTCGCTTTACTGAAATTCTGAAAAAACATAGATATTTAGTACTATCATTATTATAGATATATATCTTGGTTTTAGAAGATATCACTTCTTCGCTTCACGTCAATTGACCCATTGTGGTAAGTAACTTAAATACAAATGTAACAATTTAGTCGTCTTATAAATAATAAATTTATTTCATATAGTTTAAATAACACAATGTACAATACCTATAAACTTAACATTAAACTTAGATCTTAAACAGAATATGCTGATTAATAAAATATAATAAAATGAAGCCAGAGAAATCCAAAAATATAATCTTTGGCTTATTTAACGTTTCCAAAAAATTAAATATTTAGTGATTATGATATAAAAGTATTTTTTATTTGATATATGGCACCTTAAAACGCAATCAAGGTCTGGGTATACGCATGTTTAAACTGTTAAAAAACCAATTATAACAACATTCTCTAATATTGTAAAAACACATTTTGTTAATCTCTCTGGCGCACATTAAATTTATTTATATGTATAAAATGATATAAACATTTATTGGATATAATATTACTAAAAATTGTTTATATTATATAACAAAAATAATAAACAATGGGCTCTAGTCATATTTAAGTCTTCTTAGTAGCGTAACGACACCAAGTTTTTTTATCAGTCGGTAAAGTCACGCTTAAAAACTCGTTATATTCCACAAGAATATATGAACTACATAGTATTTTTTCTATGTACATAATTACAACTAAAATTTTATACTTCTATAGGCAAACGATTTATCTCGTACACCATACTAGGAGCACCTTTTAATGGTATTTGTAAAAATCACATTATTGAAGGTGTCTGGTGAGTACACCTCTTATTTGAATAACAATATTAATATACGCATAACGTTAGTAAAGTGAATTAATCTTCCCCTTGATCAGTCTGCTATAGTTTCATCACGCCCTATAATAGTTGGACCTACTGCCAATTGTGTATGTATTTAGTGGTATGCAACCTCCAGAGAACAAATCCGTTTGCTGTTGTTGTTGTTGTTCATAATCCACGTCATAATAAATACCGCTCTGGTTCTAAAAAATGATATACAATTTTTAATTGAATTATACATCTCTAAGATAAAAAAATTAATCGAATGAAACTAGTATTTATGAAACAAATTATTAATCTATATTGTTCAACAGGACTCACATTTTTCACAAATAACAATTAAGAGTTGATAAATAGTATTTATTAAATACTTTATACTCAATGATATATATAAGTACCAATAATGGTAGGAATTGTAGGGACTACACAAGAATTTTAGTTAATATCTATTAGTTTTTGAACACATTATTTGAATTTTGATATAGGTTGTATTATATAAATACAACTCATTCAAGTAAACTTACAGCCAATGACGATCGGCTTTTGGGTCTAGATGTCTGGTAGTTGCGACCTAAGAGGTCGGTACGATCTTCTTCTTCACTGGTGCTCGATTCTGGCGTACGGAATGGATGAGATAAGGTACTATTTCCTGGTGGACGGAGCCTAGGAAGGGGCATTGGAGCACCAGCATATCCAAACATGTTCGATCGCATTGTGCCATTACCAGGTTCGGGCTGAAAAATTCAAAAATAAGTTTTCCATTTAAAATTAAGTTACATAAATAAATAGATTAAAAATCAAAATTGCTATATCAGTCTAAAATAATCAGCCAATTTCTATAAAATTAAGTTTTCACAACGAAATAATACAATAATTGTGTTATGAATATATTTTTTGTATTTATATTAAAACTAACATTTTTAAGGTTTCGACTACCATTGTGAAATGATAATATATTTTTCAAAAAAAAATTTAAATACATATTTTTTAGAAATATTGTCAAAAAATTACGTTATTTAATATTTTTTAACTACTATCATAATTTATACTCACAGCATAATGGTTAGCGTGTGCCATTGCATCTGCAATCTGAGCCCACCTCATGCGATCTTCAATGGATACTTGATACGGAGGACCACCAATAACTGGTGTTTTTACTGTACTTCCTCCAGTAGGCATATAACCGAAAACGGGTGAACCAACTTTTTGCTCTTTGTTCCATCGCCGACTCCATGCGCACAAACACACTAAAGTAAGTACAATTATGGATATAGCAGCCACCGAAGAACCGACGGCCACGCTCAAAACTTCACCGTCAATTTCACATTGAGCACCGTAAAAAGAACCGGAACACCTGTTCACAAAAATTGACCATAATGTTTTTTTATGCTTCAAATTTAATAAAATAATAATTAAGTTTGTTAAAAATGTTTTATAGATTTCTAAACATTTTAAAACGTACAACAATTTATGTATTTTAAGTATAGCGTACATATAATTCGTATTTAAATTATTTTTGTCAAACCATATATAATGTACTCACTTGCAAACAGGTTGTCCGGCTTGGAAGAAACATTCACCACGTAAATTACATTGAGCTGGGTCACAAGTCTCACACGTTCGTCCACTACGCTGAGCATTTCCGACCCATGGATCCCTATAACCTTCAGGACATGTGCACTGAAATGTGCCAAACACATTTGTACACTTTCCGAGGGGATGACAGTCATTTAATTCTGTGCTAGTGCACTCGTCGAGATCTATAAACAAATTGATTATAAAATTCTAACTTACACTATAACTAAAAATTTTTTAAGTTCCTACCATGTAATTGAGCTATTGCGCCAGCCGGCGAGTCCACCCAGAGACCACTAGTACCCACATTGTTGTTGCGTCTTTGTAAAGCGCCGGTAAGCTGTTTTTGTACATCTTGTTTAACAGATGATCGCAAATGTTCCGCGTTTTCAGTTAGCTGCACTGTAGCGTTAACCATCACTGGCGTACCTGGTGTAGTTTTTGACATATAGATATTGTTAATTTTAACGCCTACAAACGTGTCCGAAAAAGGAGTCATCGAAAATGCTGAATCGATCTAAAAAATAATTTTTCATTATAAACCGTAGATATAATTTTGTTCACTGATAACTGTAAAGAGTATCATTTAAAAATATATTAATGCCATGGGCAATACTTACCGCTCTAGCTGCTTCGTGTTCTAATTGTTGATACTCTTGACTTTCTTGATCCTTGTACTTATCTATCCACGAAATTCTTGTATCGTACATTCGGTCGACGCGCAACGAAAACACTATCGATACGATACCTAAAATTAAAAATTAATATATCATATGATTTTAAATAATTTCAATAAAATCAATTCACTTACGGTGACATGGGTCACGGTGTTTACGTCTACTATAGCCAGGCCTACAGAGGCAAGAAGATACACCAAATTCGGTACGACATCGTTCATGTTGAGCGGCGTCACATGTAGAGTCATCGCCAACAATACATGTATCGATCCTGACTGGTGGATGAGTAGGTCGTTTCCAAGCAGGCACTGGAGTCTTAGCATTACCAGATGATGGTGCAGAATTCCCTACCTGGCTATTAGGTTGTTGTAACACTTGACTGACCGAAAATGATCTGAAAAATTTTATTGCACAATTAATTTATATTTTATACGATGTAAATAATATAATTTTACTGTTTAACTTATCCTATTTTATATTTTATCCTATACTTATTAAATTATTTTATAGTTTATTATTATTATTATTATTTATATTTTGTTTTACCCGGCGGCAGTACTAGTTGGTTTTATTGGTGGTGGAATGCCAACAGCAGCAGTGGGTTCCGGTTGTCCAAACAAGTTTATGTACGTCCGTTTACCATCGATAGAAACAAACTGTTGATTTGGTTCAGCTGAAGTAATTACAGATACTTCTCCTTTGCCCACTCCCGACGGAGATATTTCATCAGCTGTTTACAAATATAAATAAGTAAATAAAGTTTTAAAAATTGTTTAAATAAAAGTATTCTTACTTAAAATAGGTCCAGTCTTGTCACCAGGTCCTTGGATAGCTGATACCATAATATCAAATACATCTCCTTTGGTAGGCACTTGTACTTGAATAGGTCGGCGTTGACCTCCAAGATGAGGTTTGAACTCAGGATCATCCAACACGATACCAGGACGTGAATAGTATGGGAATCCTTCTATAAAAGAATTAATATTATAACAATATTCCTGTGTGAATACATAGTGAAAAAAAATTGCAAGAAAAATACTTACCAGATTGCTGAGACTGTGAAGTCTTTTTGACAGGTGCTGTGGGCTTAGCAGGCAGTTTATTATCTGTAGGCTTATGTAAATCTTCTCGATGAGGCACTTCTGAAGTCGAAGGTTCTAATACAACTACAGCTGAGCCCACGCCAGTAATAGAATCTAATCCATTAACAGGTTCGGTTGATGAAATCGTTGGATTAGTAGAAGATACTAAGGGTTTTGTGGAAGTTGTCTCAGTAATCGGAATAATAGCTGTAGTAAATTTTTCTACAGAATCAGAAATTCCGATAGACGATGGTTGTTGATTTTGTAAGTGATTGACAATCTTCGATACTTGAAGACCTATCACTTTGGTAGCGTTAATGTCTAATTGTGGATTGTCTGTTGTAGTTGGTTTGGGTTTATCCTTATCAACAGTAGGTAATGTAACTTTATCAAATATAGTTATCTTTTCTGGTTCTGATGAAGAAGTTGTCATTTGGATATTTTGCTGTGTGACTAAATTATAATCCTGTTGAGGTTTAGGTGGCGTCTGGAATGAAGATGGTGTTTGTGGTCGTCTTGATGGAAGAGGTGGTGGTGGAGGCTGTAATCCCATCTGATTATCTAACAAAGAAATATTTTCAGTTGGCACAAGTTGATTTGGAAGAGGCACACCAGTTAAAAATGGTTTCACTAAACTAGGTGGCTGAGGTGGCAACGGTCTGGATGGCTGCTGTTGTTGCTGAGGTATATCAAATGGATATGGTGGTGGGTCTTTTTGTTTATTGTTAAAGTTATTGCTTATACTTTGCTGTGGCATTGGTAAGAAAGCTGGTAAATCCATAACAATAGGCGCGTCAGATATGCGAGGTGGCCCGCGGTTATTGATCCTAGATTTGAGTGGTTTCCGCATAGGTTCATTTTGCCCAGTCCAGTGTTTAACAAATTCGTCCAAAGTATCCTCCATTTCACTGCTTTCGGCTTTACGGGACTTCTCTGTACCCACTACACCCATCTGCTGTGGGTGCTGTGCAGTATTGGTGGGCTCCGTCGTTGGTACGAGTGATCTGCCACGCGACGAAGCCCTCTTTGCTTCCCCCGAACTCCGAGTAGGGCCAACGTATTCATAAAAGTATTGTGACTGAGATGTGTGTTCATCAAGTGATGGTCCTAAAACAATAGTCCTGTCCATAGAGTCATCATTGACATTTTGTAATACATCATTATCAATAGCTGTTGCACAGTTTCCAATACAAGATGATGCCGTATATTTCAACCGTTCTGTATTGGTCAGTGACATTTGACCGTTACGATGTAGCTCATCGATTTCATTAGAATCTCTTGTTTTTGTTGCCAAATCCAAATGTCGCCTCCGAATGCGCACTTGTTCTTCTGGTTGTAAGTCTACACATAGTGCTTTGCCTAAATTAAAAAAAACCAATTAATTTTAATAAAGATATAAATATTTGTTTATTTTTAAAAAATATCAATAAAACGTAAAGAATTTTAACCGTTATGATTCGTAACGAATAAGATTTTTCAATGTACCATGTAAGTACAAATAATATTAATGATGTATTTTTGAAATCATTCATATAAGGAAATACTCGTTTAATGATTTACATAATGTTTTATGTTTTTATATTATCGGTCTTATATATCAATTCCTCGGAATAAAACAACAATTCTTCAATTAAGTAAATTTATTAAAATAAATTAACTATTTATTTTTTGCTCAAATACTTGCATTATAGCCTACATACACCTAATCTAAATAAATTAATACAACTCTAAATTAATTTCTCTAATGTCTAAATTTTATAATAATTTTTGCATTTACATTTGACTTTCACAAAACAACCGCGTATGATGTCATAAGAACCCCTTCCTGGTACGTGAAGTGAACACATGAATTAAGCGTATTTAATATGCATATTGTATGTAACCAGAGGGGTCCAAATATTACACTTAAATCACTTTCTCTTGGTAAAAAAAGACAAGACAATAATGATTATAATATTATAATCCGAGAACAAACGTTTGATAAATCACCGCTGGTGCAATGAAGTGCACGTGTAGATCACGTATCTGCCAGTGATTAGTGTAATTTTATCCTTATTACTTTTCATTATATTTTCCGCTTTCTTGCACCATCAAAAAAATGCAAACAGCGTTACTAACATAGAAGTTTGTATTATATATTTTCATTAAAGAATGTAAAAACTAACTGCACTAATTAATTGTGCGTTAATTTGACGAAACGCATTTCCGAATAGAAATTATTAATTTAAGATTCAAATTTGAATTCCAATGTAATTAGCTCAGGTATAAACCCACCCATAGCTTACTTTTTTATTCTACTGTAAACATATTAATAACTACTTTTTTTTACGTTTTAAAAAATATGTTAATAAAATTTAATTATATGTTTTAATATTACATAATTTATTTCATTAAAGTTATATTGATCTATATACAAGCAAAGTTTATAATAACTATATGGTTTTGAAAACATCAATTGTATCTTCAACTAGAACTTCAACTAGTTTCAATAGAAACTGTAATTTATTTTTTTTATACATACAACGTATAATAAGGTAGTGTAAAAAAAGTACCATGAAATTATTAGTACACCAGAAAATATTTTTACTTAAGGTTGACGTAATTTTTTAATGTAATGACAAAAAAATGTGTAACATTTAACTATACTTTTTACCTATTTTATTTTACAACTTAATATAATGTTAAAAATCCACAAATAACAATTTTCTATTGAATAAAACAATTTTTGTATCTATCTTTATAATTCACAGATTATTTATTAATTAGCAGTTATAACCCAATGCTTAAATAAGATTCTTTATCAAATCCGGTTATTCGTTAAATGTTGTTTTTTGTCAAGTGTAATTTACCGTTGCACATTCCAATTGCTTCAAAGATAACTATTATAAGGTAACTTAAACACATTGAAAAATGAATATCATAGACCATTAAATAACATAATGATTAATAAAACCTTAATATACTTAATTAATTTAATTCTTTAAGTTCTATATTTCACGGTTATTTTTACGTGAGCATAAATTTATCTTCAAGGTCATAGTATGGTTTATTATTCTTAAACATATCTTATACTAATATTTTTAGCCTAAAAAATATTTTTTTGGCAGTCCTCACGCTCCATATACCTCTGGGTGAAAGTATGTTAACTAAATTCATTTGTAAAACAAAATATGTCATAAAAAAACATAATTTAATTATAGCTAATTTGACAGGTTTAATTTATTTAAAATAAGTTATAATTAAGTTAAAGTGATATCACATGTGTTTTGATGGTAGCTGTGTCTATGATTTTTGGGTAAATAATTTAGATTTAAGAGTATAAATAGGTAAGACTGTTGTCTGAGTGAAATCTTAGTTATTAACAATAGCTTCAATGGGCGCAGCAATTCGATTGCAAACTTCAAATTTTTATTTGAATGCATACTAGGAAGGTATCTTTGTAACTAGGAGCTCTTAGTGGCGAGCGCCTGTAGTGTCCGATTAGTAAATTCATAGAAACAATTAAAAATCAGTTCAATTTTCTCCGACCTTATTTGTTTCTATGACCCACTAACGGTGTATGATTATTCTGTTGATTGTATTCAACCAAAAGATTTTCTGTCAGTTTTTATATTTTAGGTGTGGTCGGCTAGTACTGGCAAAGACCGTGTGGTGTGTGAATTTTTACCATAAACTACTATACACCCAGAAAAAATGTTTTTCGACGTAAGTCGACGAAATAAATTTGAAAATACATATTTGCACTAGCCACTATCATTTCTAATCTAGTTAAGTTGTTTACAATCAATGACGACAAAAGTATGGAAATTAGTGATAGTAAGAAGGATGGACAACTGGATAGATAAACCTTGAATGACGAGCAAGGCAACGGCGGCGGCCTCATACGCGCATACCTACTGGACCGTTACGTTAACCCGTTACACGCTGAACTATGCGACGTTGCCGGTAACCCAAAGACCAGTTCAGTTTAGCCCAAACATAGATGAATGTAACGATAAGTGTTATTACTATTAAAAAATACCTAATTATAATTTTTAAAAGATTTATTTTAGGAATATCGTGATCCGCTCTTTAGGCTTCAAACGACTTTAGTCCAAAATTTCGCTGGTTATTATTTAAGAAAAACACTATGATGTTATGTTATGCTTCAATGTTGTACTACTATTGTCCGTTTAAATTATCATGTACGGGGCTCGAACACAATTTCTTGGGGTGATAACGATATAATAGTAGGATGAAGTTGCTACTAAGACCTTACATTTAACAAAATACAATACTAAAAATAACATTTCAAGAGTGAGGCAACTATATATATATATATATATTTTGTATTTCGCATTCTAAAAATTCTTATGATATTAAGAACAATAATACTTCTTACAATACTTGTGAGTACACTTATAATTTTCAGGTGGTAATTATAAAAAATTAGAGCATATTTAATAAAAATCCTTGAAGATTACAAACAATTTTAAGGAAAAACTCTGAATTATACATCACATAAACTGTGAGAAACTGATCCGATTTGTCAAATTATAATGCCAATGAGAAAATAATAAATTAACCATCAGAATTTTATTTCTTAAGTAGTTATAAACTACTCATCTTAACATTGATAATAATAAAAAAAAATTACAGTATTTTACTTTTTCATAAAATATTAAAAATAAAACAAATAATTAGCTTAAAACTTTTTCACGCGCAAAAAAAATTGTTTTTGATAAAAAATTAGTATAAAGTAACTTTACATCAATTTTCTGATTATTTCAGTTCAATAAAACTTACAATTTTGAATAAAGCATATATAAATATTTTGGATGAATTTTATCCTAAATTAAATAAAAATTTTAATTAAATTTGGTTGACATAAAGTTTAAATTAATTTCTTTAAAAATATTATTTATTTATTTAGTTTATTTAGTTAATTTAAGTTAATGTTTGACAATTTGATTTTTTTTTTAATATTTTATATTAAGCTTTATATATTATTTGGGTAATAAATAACTGATACCAATTGTTATGAATAAATACCTCTCATCTCATCTATTAATTTTGAACTCTCATCAAACATGTAATTAATTATTATTTATGAGTTCAAAACAAATATTTTCAACAAACCTTAAATAAATATATTTCTGTTTACAATACACTAAGATACCGTTACAAATATTACAGACGCTATTTATTGAATTCTTAATTATTTTTTAATCTGGATGGGTCCTGATTCATCATTATAAATTGCTTGAAATGATATAACGGATACATTCAGGTTTCCACGCCCAAATCAACTCTAATGCCGATCATATATATAAGACGTAATGAGTAATTTATTACGAAAACATTTATTTAAATCAAAATTATGTACATACCTCATTATTTGTATAATGATTTTCAAAACAAATACACTTTTCTGAAGTTTACCAGCTGAAATATCTAATCAATTGCTTGATTTTTTTTCTAATCATATTTCATTATATTATTTTAATACAAATTTCTTTACTAAACATTTATTACTATGCTTTTTATAAAATGAAAACAGAATAAATCATATACGTATGACTAATAAAGCACACATTTCACTCGTCTTAAGTGAGTAAGTTTCCAATGATGTTGGTTGTTCAGTGGGCGTTTGAAATAGGAGTTTCTAATTAGATGTCCGGCATATTTATCTCATCACTTTGCTTTACTTTTGATGTATTAACCTTATCTTATACATATTTTTTTGGTTATTATTTTTAAAATTGATAAGTTGATTTATGATACAAAAACACTCATTTCGATTGTATTCCGATAAGATTAATCGAAAAATTCAATTCATTATTCACCATCGTTATGTCTATAAGACATTGAAATTGAATTCTTATCGAGCGTACAGAACATATGAATCGCAACACCTACGAAGTTATGTACACTACAAAAATAAATTTAATATGCAACAAGAACTTTCTCAGAGGTAAACGTAATTTATTTGTGGAATAAAGAAAGTGTAACATTAAAGAAAATATGCAGCATAAAACTTCGCATACCATTAACTAAAACAATTCTTTAATTACTCTAAATAAATGTTTGAATTTTTCTTCATAGTATAAACCAAAGTCGGAAGTTAGTGTAAGTTAACTGATGACACAATACAACATAACAATATTTTTTGTATACAATATAAAATCAACATTGTATGCAGAATTACATGTAATGTAATTCTGTGACGTATTTTCACTAACAACAGCTAAAATTGATGCTTATTTTTGTTACGATGTGCACTGTCTAATAAGACGTTTTCAAAAAAATGATTACAACAATCACAACTAATATTTACTATAATTTCAATTCAATATACAAAGAAATCACTCAATGTATTA